TCTTCCTTAATGAACTCTTTTTTTTTTTGTGTACCATAACACCATAAATGGACACAGCTATTAATATATAATTAAGCGTTTGTGGTAATTTCCTTGAAATTAGCATAGATTTTTTGCGCCAGGCCTTGTCGATAAATCTCGAAATGTGCACCTATATATATGTATATATATATATATATATATATATATATCAAAAGTGGCCACAACGAAGTCGTAAAAGGTCTTAACGGCAATTGCGCCACTTCTCGAATTTGTGGCATGTGATTTGCATGTTTGCCATAAATGGACAACATGGGGAAGGGGGGCGCTATGAGTGTGCCATAAAAGATGCCAGGGCGCCCCCTGGCGTTCAGATTGGCCGATGCTTAAAAATCAATTAGATGGAAGCTGTCGTTACCCATTCGTTCCTTTTTTGGCATCTGCTCTTCTTCTTCTTTTTTGGATGCTGCTCTGCTCTTTATTTTCCAGTTTTTGTTCTCGTAAATATGATGGCTCATCAAATTTGCGTTTTGTTAATTGGTTCGTGTTTCGGTTTGGCAAAGTATAACAAAATTTGATTAGCCTCAACTGATTGTTTTTAAGGAGTAATATACTTTTCTTAAGGTAACTGAAACATTATAAATTATATGAATTCTTGCTAGTATATATTCCCTTTATTTAAAGGAAACCAAAACTATTTCAAATTTCTCGAAGCCCAGACTTAGCTTTAGTTTCTTGTTTCTATGGGATAGCTGATATCGTTTTAGGATTGCGGCTGATTACATTTTTATGATCTTGATAACAATGGGAAAATAACATTTGTTTATCTTTTTGAATATCGGCAAATGTTTCATATAAATATAGAAAGGAAATGATAAGTCAGAAGAGCTCCCAGTATTGTCATCGATAAAATTTAGTTATTAAAAGTATGAGCAACATTTAAAGAACATCATTTTAATAAATAACAACCGAAGTGCTTAACGAAATCTCAAACAAAAAAATAAGTTAAGCCTTAAGTAGCCTACATAGACATTTTTATATTTTATTATATTATTGCCCAAAGACTTTTTATGTTCTGCAGATACTTTTTTAATTTTCAATTTGACAATTTTCTGTTTACGATTAAAACCCTATAAATAAAACCGTGTGATGTTTAGCCAATTCCTCTTTAAGCTCTGCTAATGCAATTTAATCTCTTAATTTAGAAGCGATAAACGAAAAATGTGCTAAATTTTGCAATTTTTATTTATAACATATTTCAGGCGAACAATCTTTATTTTTGTCGCTGACATTTCGAACGATTGCATTATGTCTCTATACAACCGAATTTCGTGGCCCAAAAAATAAAAGGAAAAATGTCAATGGCAACAGGGACAACACGAGCCTGGCACCGATTCTGAGCCCAAGATACGCCCAACAGAGCCCACGCACAACATGCCACACACAGCTACAAAAAAAATATATTCAATTTTGCCGCAAATTGAATTGAAATAGTTTTGCCTGCTGGCCACACTGCATTTTGGGCCAAGCGTACACACTGGCAGGCTGTGTGCGTGTGCGTGTGCATGTGCATCTGTGTGCGTGTGAGTGTGGGGCAACAGAAAGGCAAAGATTTCCGCATGTAAAAAAAAAAACTAAAACAAAAATAATATTCCACCGACCATTAACTAAAAATAACAATGCTGTTGAGTTTTTGCTGAGTTATGTGCACACTTCTCAGCTATTGCTATCTTTTTCACACCATTCAATTGGGCTGTTTGCTAGGTGTGTGCGTGTGTGTGTGTGTGTGTGCTTGTCTGGCGAAATCTGATACGAGATTTACTTAAGAGTCATAAGCAATTATGAAGCTGACGTTTAACTTGTCACTCGCATGTCGAGCAAAGCAAAGCAAAGCAAAGAGAGCGAGAGAGTGGAGAGAGGAAGGGCGAGGGAAAGAAGGATGGTGGGAGAGCGAGAGAGCGAGAGAGCAGAACGGGTGCCACAGCAGGTAATACGAGACATTTGAATGGGTCACATTTTGCTTGTTTTGTGCTTTTCTTTGTTTGCATGGCTTTCATTATTTGTGCTTAAATATTTCTTGTGTACCGGAAATTGCCAGAGATCAGGCCTAATTGTGCGGTTCCGTTGGCCCAGTGTGTTATGTGTATTATGATGACCGCTCGACATGATATGATAGCATTTAGCAGGCGTTTATTCAGTTCTCAGGCGCTGCGCTGATTTATGCGCTGTTCGTGCCGCTCGCGTCGCTTAGCTTTAGCCCTAATTGTGGAATGTGAGAAATTGTTTTGCATAGGAAAAACTTAGCTACGGATTTTCCAAAGATAAAAGAAAAACATTTGACCGTTGACTTCAGCTTGGAGTAGTTTTTAAGTACATGGCAGCTAGCTTTATTATTATTGCAACAACTGCAACAAGAGCTTTGCATAAATATGATGTTGCAATGGCCGCTAAAAGAAGAAGCAGCAGCAGCAAAACATGCAACACGTTGCATGCACACAACAATTGCTGGGTAACTACGAAATAAAATTGTAACAACATTGTAACTGTCGACAGAAGCCGCAGTTTTCCCAGCCCCCCACCCCCTTACCTTGCCGCACCTGTGCAGCGTTGCGGAAACTTCCGGGATGGGGCACATGCATAGTTTCACATGTGTGCTCCACCTGCCTTCTCTGCCAACAACTGTTTTGATTCAATTTAGGCCGTGCTTTCGTTTCGTTCTCCTGCCTGTTGGCTAATTCGTTGTGAAAGGAAATGTGACTAGCCTCAAATTAGAGAGTCCCCCCCCTCTCCCCCAACAACACCCTCACCCTCACCCCTACCAATACCCCAAGGAACCAGCAAACGTGGCCAATTCGGAAAGCTAATTGCATTTCAAATGCGCCACAAATCAATTAACTAGAACTCACCAATTTCCATGTCCGCCCAATTAGAAATTAAAATTGACATTTACCACAAAGATAAACAAATATTATTGGAAAAGTCGGGAGAACTGCGAACTGGGCGGAGCCCTAAGCCTAGCCTATACTTCTTCTCCAAAATGAACAGGGTATATGTAAAATCTGAAAACCTATCCTATCCATCATGATATACAGGCATCTTCATATATACCAACTGATCCACATTCTTCAGACTCTAGCTCTATCCTATTTAGTCTTATTCACTTCAGAGACACTTAGATATTTCAAAGTATTACAATGAATTTCGATAGGCACTTCTTTCTCGGAAAGGCCATGAATAAATCTTATGGCTAAATACTTGGTACTTCCCTCTGAAGATATGGTTCATCTACTTATACTTTGTTTATATTTCTTTTACGGAAACAAACAAATGGGAAAAACTTTTCTTCTTAAATGCAAATAAAGAATTAGGTGGAAATCATATACCTTATACCTTCGAAATCTAGTTTGAATTTTGTAAACATTTTCCCAATCAATGTTTGTTTGCACAGCTGAGGAATAATATTTGTGAAATATATTTCTCACTTAACAATTCCAAAACAAATTTGATTTCTTCATGGAATTCGGCCTTAACAGGAAATATGGGAATACAAGAAATTGCGAATATAATAAATTATTGCAATTGCAGAACTAACAACTATTTAACTTAATTAATTATTAAGAATTTGTTTTATTTAAATTATAATAAAATCAGGGCCACACAACCAAGGGAAATAGTCTCTGGCTCGTTTTACAGCTCGAAAATGTTCTCCGATTTGAGAAACTGGCAGAATTGTTAAACATTTTTCCTTAAATTTAACTATACAATTATATTTATAGTTCGATTTGTAAAGGATATACTGGTTGATTAATTTTTTTTTAAAACAAAGTGGTTTCTTCTCGAGATGGAGGATAATAATAATGCAAATGAGATTTGCCAACAACTCGAAATATCTACCTAAAATGCCATCGATGATATTTATAATTTTTGTTTAACCAACTCTTAACGTTTTCGGAAAGTTTAGTTTAAAGTAGAACTGATTGAACTCTTCCTGGAAAGTTTAGATTAGATAAACAATTAAATAAATAAACAGAAGCTCTTGAATATCAATGAAAACCACTAGGAAAATGTCCATGTGCCTGCTTAACCAAGTCAAAACAAGTAAGAGATTCTAGTCGGGAGCTCCCGACTAGGGGATACCCTGAACCCTCTTCTTCCAACATCAAATACCCTTATACCCATTTTTAATGGGTTCAGGGTATAAATAGTATATCAACATTTTTAAAGAATAATTTCTTATTTGTATATCTTACTTAATCTCTTACTTAATTCTGTGGTTCAGGTGTTAAATGCCTATATATCTCGCCCAAGTTTCTAGTTAGCTTTGTGCTTTATTTGATTTGATTAATTTTGGCCGATTAAGTTCGCAGCAGCTTGTAAATTTCAATTGAAAACACTTTCCGAAGTGTATAAGTTTTCCAACTGCTCTCATTTATCTTCATCAAGGCAACAATTGAAACTTTGCAACTATCAGTCGACAGTTGTCCAGACACACTTGGATTGGATGGGGGCATGCCCCCATGCTCACAAAAAGGTCAAATGTCAGCCGAATCGGAGGAGCATTCATTACATGCATTGCACATTAATTAAATTAACTGTGAAACGTGGACAGGCAATTATGCCCTTTTCGCTTTGTTGGCATGTCAAATCTTGACCATAGATAAAGCCAGAACAAGTCCAGCAACAGCAAACAATAAAAGAGCATGAATCAGAGTCGGACCCAAGGCAGAGGAGTAGCTCCCTCTCTCCCTCTCTCTCTCTGTGTCTTTCTCTGCCTGTGGCAAGCTGTGGGTGAGTCATCGGGAATTTGAAAATGCCTTTGGGCCAAAGCGGGCATTAATAACTGGAATGCGAATGCGTATGGGCCAAACAGATCGAACGTGCCTCTCGTATATGACGCATGAGGAAAGCAGCGCTCGGCTGCAATTACATAATATTATATTTAATTCATCAATTGATATATATATACAAAATTTGTTTGCAGTGCATTTCAAAGATCAATTTCTGTTCGCTTTCAATTGCAGCCACGCCAATTAATTGCAAGTTCAATAAACGCAACAGTGTTAGTTAATAAATAATAAAAAGCAACCGATTCGCGGACAACGACTAGCAGTGCATACAGCTCTTGGAAGATGCAGTGCGGCCTGGAGCAGATGAACGATTGCGAACGCTCGCCGAACCGAACAAATCTGCGTGTCAACTTCAATGAGAAGGGCGCCGAGGTCAAGGAGCGACGGGAAAAGTTCCTTACCGCCAAATATGGCTCACATCAGATGAGCCTGATCAGGAAGCGTCTGGCCGTCGAAATGTGGCTATACGATGAGCTGCAGAAGCTCTTTGATCCGCCGGTAAGATGACAGCTCCCAGCTGACTCGAGTCGAGTTTCTTATAAAGTTTGCTTTTGGGGTTTTGCAGAGCGAGGCGATCGATGTGGATATCGATGAAATTTTAGACATGGACACAGACGACATTAGAAGATCTCATCTTATTGTATGTATTCCTTTGAATAATCAATAAATAAAGCTAAATAAATTCTCGTCTCATGCAGAGATTATTGTCAGTCTGCAAACGCCCGCAATCGGACATATCGAAGTTCATTGGCGATCTCTTGGATCGCGCAAAAACGCTGTAAATCGCCGGCTCTTCAATAAACACAAAATATAATAAAAAAAAATAATAAGAAAAGAAATCATTAAACATAATGTAATACATATATATACTAACATATAATATGCAAGCGAAATACAATTTACTTTTAAGTTTAGCTGCTTTAAGATCCACACAAGAACAAAGAATAAAACCGAATTATTATTTTTTTTTTTTCTTCAGAATTTCTCATTTAGGGTTTTCGTTTGTTTGACATCTGTATTTGCAAAGTTTAGTCTTAATTTAAAGAACACACCGATAAAATGCATCGTTAGCCATAAGAATACAAATTTAAATCATGACTTCATCAATTTTGTGATGATATTTCATAATAAAATATATATATATATTAATATATGTATGTACATTATACACATGTGTATAGTAAATGGCCTGAAACTAATATGAAATTGTTTATTTGTAATGCAAAAAGTGTTTTTTTTCCGCAAGCGTGTGTAGTAAAAACTAGTAAAAGAAAATGTTACAAAAAAAAAAACTACAGTAAACACTCTGGTTGTTGCAAATGATTTGGTTTTCTGCCTACGTCTGCTTAATTGTATTTATTTTAACAATTTTCTATCATAATATATGTTATTGTCATGTGCTTGAATATTGTAGCTACCCAAAAATGATTTGAATAAAATTGTGTACAAGAAGATATTTAATCGAAATGTTTGTGTAAAGTAAATCGAACACGTTAACAAAGATGTAAGCTCAGGTTCACTGCCAAAACGTGGAGTAGAAATGATGCGAAAAAAACGCCGCTAAAAACTGAAAATAACCGAAAGCAAAACAATATGCAGAATGGTGAATACAAGAAATTGTTCAAGATAAATATAAAAGCCGTGCAAAATAAGGAAAAAGTATAAATTTAGAGCAAGAAAATATGCATAAAATTAGTTTTTATTTGTATTTGTTTTTAATTGTTTTAAAGGAACTTCTTTAGATGTTCCAGTGAGCCGACAGTTGCAATACATACACAATATTTGAAGCACAAAGAATTTCATCAACTATTATTTTCACAATGTAAATAAAATGTCAAAGAAACTCAACACAAAACTCCCCATTGAACTCAACATAAAGCATTAAATGAATTTTGAAAAACTTCTAATCAAATTATTTGTAAATACCTTGATGAAGCATTCGAGATCTTCACTCCACGACATTCTTCGTAGTAGTTATTAGTACTTACTAGCAATTGAAATCTAACATACAAGTATTTTTAATGTGCTCAACATGGCAAAAGCAAAAGCAACATACATTTTTAAAAACCATTTTAAGCACTTTAATAGCTCCTGAAATTAACGGATAATGCACTCTTCTATGATACTCTATTGTATGCTCTATTAATTATGCCCACGCATAGCATAAGTAAACTCTCTCAACATGCTCTTTGCATAAATATAATAATATAAAAAAAAAAACACATAAATCATTTTAGGTGCTCATTTAGCCAAACACGCATACTTAATTCAACATTATATAGCTCCAAATTTAAACATTTATACATTATACTTAATCATGCACTTTACTCTCGTTTAACATTGACAATTGAAGCAAATATATGGAAAGCAAACAAAAAACACACACGCTATGGCATACGGAAAGCTGTAAGGTATGCTGAAAGTATTTATAAATGGCAAAAAGTTTACAATAAAATTTAATTGCTTTAGACAAACAAAACAATCTAATTGTGTAATTAAAATAGCTTAGCCTTAAAGATTCAAAAAACGATAGCTCTTGGCGCTCGTTGTAATACATTTGAGTCGATATATTTTAATCGATAGCTATCGACAATGCATTTCGAGCATAGCAGTATGGAATATATCGATATCTTTTTGCCATCTCGCCTTGTTTATGTTTGTCTTGTCGTTGTTTTGGCCGCACGCGAAACATGAGCTACAAGAATTATTACACATGGAAGTATCCGGACATACCCGAGAATGTAGCGTAAGTAGTTGAAAAACTTCATAATTAGATAATCGCCAACACGTGCAACACTACAGACCTTTGCTATTGGAGCTACAGAACTCGCTGGTGATTGTCGGCATAATTGGGCGCTCGAAATGTGCGCAGGCCAACAAGATGAGCGCCTTTGGCATGCAGCCGGACAAGACGCATGAGCCGGCGGATGGACAGATTCTATGCTATTATAAGCCGGGCACCAATATGCTGCTGCTGCACTTTGAGACCACCCACGATGAGGCGGTGCTGGGCCAGCAGCTGCTGAGGCAAACCTCCGTTGACTTTGACAGCTTCTACGAGCAGATGCGGAGTCGGTTTGTGCGCATGCTGCTGCTGGCGCTGCACGTGTGTCACATTTTAGTTTACGTAGAAACTGCACAGACCTTCGACACGACACTGGTGACTATTTGCCAGCTGCTGAAGTATGTGCGAGAGAAGCATGTGCTGGACTTTTTGCCACAAATGATGCGTGAAACAGCCGCCGGCAGTTTGCTCAGCGATAGGGCGCGTCTCTGCACGCCACGTGTTCTGTTTCTCTTCGAGAACTATCCCCAGGATGAGGAGAAGACACGAGAACGCATTTCCGCCTATGAATTCCAAACGGAGGACAAGATATACGAGCTGCTGCGCCAGTACAACATTGTAACTAACAATGCAAACAATTCCCTACTCGCGCTGCCCAACAACAAGCAGTTTGTGTTCTACAACGCCCACGAGAAGCTGCGTCCGGATCAGCTGCTGCTGGCCATAGAGGCTCTCAACGCGACCATGTACAAGTCGGACTCCAAAGAGGAGGAGGAGGACACCGAAATTTTAGAGCTTGCCCCGTTCGAGGGCTTTGTCAAGCCCTATGGCGCGGGCTACGAGGCGCGTGAGTCGGACGAGCAGCTCTACAGAAAGAAGCACACAGTTTGGCACTTCTTGCAGCGTCATGTGCAGGATGCACTGCAAGGTTGCTTTGATGAGGGCTCCTTCAAGCAGCTGCCACAGTCGGCACAGTTCCAGCTGCTGGGAGCTAATGATTGGCACATTTGCATGGATACCATACACAGGCTGCTCATCGGGAATATCCAGGAAGTCAGCTACGTAACAAATAATCTAAATTATGTAAATAGCTATCCCAAATCTTATCTTTGTCAATTAACTGAAATCCTCCATAGAAAGCCTATCTGCGGGACTTTAACGAGAGCCTCAACTATGAGAAAAAGTAAGTGAAACAATCGTATTGTGTATTTATCCCAAATAATCCTTTATTTTAACAGGTTCTGGGGCCATCTGTGCGAACTGGGCTTGAAGAAGGGCATATCCGCCTATAAAAGTTCCGCGCCCGCCATTTACGGCAGCGTCACGCACAGGCAGCTGCTGGCGGATGCCATACTGGCCTTTGAGGAGGAGGGACGCGGACCATATTCGGAGCTGGCGTTGGCCAAGCTCAGCGATATTTGTTTAAGGCACTGGCATGACGGCAGGCAGCAGTGCGAACAGCTCAGCCTGCGTGGCAATCCCTGTACACAGCCAAAGGATGCGCCGCACGATAAACATAGCAGCGGCATTGTCCACATCTCCAGCTGCAATTGCGGGCGCACGCAGGGCAGGCGAGAGGACCCGTTCACACTGCGGCAGGCCAATTACGATTACTACGAGCTCATGGCTGCCATGTGCAATTTGTGTGTGAAGGTTAAAAAGTTTCAGTTGCCCGTATTTACGCCCTCAATAAGCGATTATCGAGCGGCGGCTTTCGAGGCTGCTTTCCCACTGCTGTTGCAGGCGGCTAAGAACCGCACGGATATCGCGGCAGGGGGCGACAGCGATCTGGAGGCCGCCGGTGAGCTCTACTCCCAACCGATTAACGCAACGGAACAGGCGCCACAGAAGCCGCAGATAACCCTAAGCAATGGCTGCTCGCAGCCGGCATTGTCGGCTACCTATGGCTCCGATTTAAACATGTCGATAGCGGGCTTTGGCGCTTCGCTGAATGAGGCCGAGGAGGTGCGCTCACCGGAGATCAGCTCGCAAATTGCCAGCAGTGGCTTGAGCAGCCGCAGCAATAGCACCAGCAGCGGCACCTCCAGTGCCAACACAGCCAACGAGCTGGTGCTGCAGCTCAAGGAGCGCACCGATCAGAATGCGGCCAATGCCGCAGTCAGCGAAATCTGCCCGGAGGCGCTGCCAATTGTAGCGTCGCCAGAGCAGGTCTCTACCACGGAATATCTGCCCGGCTTGGTGCACATGAGCAGCGGCTGCGAGTTACTGCCGCTGTTTCCGAGCTGGTCGCTCGCCTGTGTCGGTCCCAGTTCCATTTACAGTCACAATACCGGACTGCAAGAGCATTTCCAGAGCGGGTTTCTGTCCGGTGCCAACTTTCTGCTGCCCTGGGACGTGCACGTCCGCCTCGTCCAACCGCACAAGCATCCGCAGCAGCAACAGCAGTCGATGGGCAAGAAGAGTCAACGCTATCGCAAGCACGGCGATCGCCTCGCGCTCAAGATCTTCGTTGGCTTCGAGTACGAGTGCTCGCGTGGCCATCGCTTCATGATGTGCAGCCCGGATCGTGTGCTGCGCGGCGGTGCGGACATTGAACGCGACACCAGCAGCAAAGTGGTGAACAACAATATGCCCCTGTATTTCCCCTGCCCGTGTCGCGCACAGACCACATATCTGGCGCAGCTAATGCGCATTCATGTGGTCACACCCAAGGCGCCTGTCAACATAATCCTCGATCCCAAGATGCGCGTGGGCAAATACACCTTCACCTTGGGCTGCCCCACGTTGCCGCGACTCTCCCAGAGCGCCTACTGGATACTGCGCTTGCCCTACGTCTATCAGGGCGACAATGTGCTGATAACACCACCAGAACGACTTGAGCCGGACGACAACATGGCCTCCGGCTGCCTGCTGGCCGGCATGTTTGGCATTGCCGAAACGGACACCAATGAAACTAATCAACAAGCGATTACCCCGCTGACTTTTACACGACTGTAAAGGTATTTATGAAAAAAAAAACGTAGTTTGCATAGAAATCAATAAAATTGATTTTTAGCAAAATCGGAAGTTATTTAAACAACGATAACATGTGTATGTTATGTAAACTATCTGTAAATGACGCACTGTTATTTGGAATTAACATTTATAACATCCTTTGATCACAAAAAAGAAACCAAGTACCCCTATATGTATGTGATATATAGTCGGTACACAAAAGCTTTAGTCCCTATTTAATGTTCCTCGGACTCATAAATTTAAGTAGTTGGATTTGATACAGATGCCTTAACAAAATTGCCCGATGTGCGATCATAGACTTTCCCGATGTCTTGGAAAATCGTAAAATGTCAGCGATAGGTTCCATGACAGCCAAATAGCCATAACGAGTCGACTTTGGATTAGTGTTCATATATATTATATTTTTATGTGTAAACTTCTGAACTCCCAGCTCTTATGTTTCCCATCTCTCCATTGCTTACTCGCTTATAACCAAATAACGTACACAGTTTTGATCGTTTTTTTAAGTTAACGATTAATGTAATCTCTTCAGGATCCGCACAATAAAGTGCGCTCTCGTAATATAGGGGAATTCGTTTCGGGAAAGTATGACCCACAATTCGTTGTGGGGCATTCGGTAAATGAGCAGCATACAGTAGGTAGCTTAATACTAAAGTTTAATACCATTTAAAGTGGTGCATTCGAATTGGCAAGCACGGCGCAGAGCTCTAACTGAGATTAGCTTACAGATATTGTGAGATGATATGCGATATGATTCAGCAGCCGGTGGAAGTTGAAGCTGTTGCAAGTTGCAAGCACTATTTTAAGTAGGGTTAAACTTAAACATACAAGTCTATAGAACATTTAAACATAAGAGCTCTGCGCGGCACTTGACAATTGTGGGTGGTGTTTTGGGTTTTACAATAATAATGATTAAATACCATAAGCAATAATAAGAACTATGGCCAGAAAACAATGCTTAAAATCTAAAATTGAGTTTGTGTTTCGCGTTTGACATTCCCACCGATTCCATACGGAAAAGTTGAATACAAATTGAAGACAAATCTAGATTCATGCTGTGAGAATAATGTGTGGAACTGATGCGAGATGCCTGTGCGAAACTGCATAACTCTTCATATATGTGTAACGGCTTTTAGATGTCCTCTGTGTAGACCTCTTCTTCGGCAGCGTAATCGTCGTTCTCTATAAAATCAGCACAGACCTCCTCCTCGCAGCCCACTTCCATGTCTGCGAAATCAACGGGCATATCATAATACATATCCGCGTCCGTAATTAGTTGTTGGTCATCATCATCATCATCATCATCATCGACATCATCATCATCATCATCGATGTCATCGTGATCGTTGTTAGCCGCTTGCTGCGGCTCGTTTTGGTCGGCTGCCTCGTCCAGCTGCTCATCATCTTCGTCCAGCTCATCGTCGTCGTCGTCGTCGTCGAGTTCTTCTTCGTCCTCGCCGGCCGAGTCCATGGCTGGCAGCTGCTGTTGCTGCTGATTCATTTGCTGCAGCATCGACTGCACACGCTGCATGTAGGCCTGCTGCTGTGCCTGGCGTTCCACGGCACTGCATTTGCCCGCCGCAAGTGGCGCCGGCGGCAACGTGGCCTGCTTCATATTGTCCAGCAGCGCCGTATGCTCCCGCGTCACATGCAGCGCCAAAGCAGTGGCATCCGCATGCAAAGCGCCGCACACAATGCAAACCAGCGTCTCCTTCGGCGCCGGCATCACGGGCATCGCTTGACGAGCTGGTGTCGCGTCCATGGCATGCGCCTGTATGTGCTTGTTGAGATAGGCCTGCTGGCTGTAGGCCTTGCCACAGATGTGGCAGGGAAAGGGCTTCTCGCCGGCATGGATCTTCATGTGCACGCTCAGACTGGAGGCCTGCGTGAAGCACTTGTCGCACAGCTTGCACTGGAAGGGCTTCTCGCCCGTGTGTATGCGCATGTGTATGTTGAGGCTGCCCGATTGCGTGAACGAGCGATCGCACAGGGAGCAGGTGAACGGCTTCTCGCCCATATGGCATTTCATGTGCTGCACCAGCTCTGAGCTGGCACGGAATGCCTGCCGGCAAATGGCGCACTGATAGACCAGCTCCTGGGTGTGCATGCGCATGTGCTCGTCGAGCAGCGCCTCGGCCTTAAACTCGCGCTCGCACTCCGGACACACAAAGCTCTCGACGGGCGCCGAGTGCGACTTCTGGTGCAGCAGCAGGGAGCTGTAGTTGATGAAGCCCTTGTCGCACTGCAAGCACTGATGCGGCTTGCGCACCGCATGCGAGCGCATGTGCACCATCAGGCTGCTCGACTGGGTGAATGCCTTCGGGCAGAGTTCGCACTTGTACGGCTTCTCGCCGCTGTGGATGCGTATGTGCGTATTGAGGCTGCCAATGTGCGTGAAGGTCTTCTGGCAAATGGAGCACTGGAACGGCTTATTCGAGATGTGCGAGCGCACATGTTTGGAAAGATCGCCGGCATTGGGAAACGACGCCTCGCAGTGCGTGCACTGAAAGCACTTCTGCCCATTGGCGCTCAGCTGGGCCACCGCCGCGGCCGCAGCTCCCTGGCCCTCGCTATTAACGTTCGCCTTGCTGCGCCGACCACGACGTCGCTTAATGGTCGCCGGCTCCAGACTGAGCGTCGGCTGCAGCATCGGCGCCTGTACCACGGCGGGCGCCGGCACTGGCGTTATGCTCAGCGTCGGCTGCAAAAGTATTATGGATGTGGATTCACGCGGATCTGCGGTCTGCAGCTGATATTCGTTGGGTTGATTGCCGGGCAGAAGGCCACGCATCGGATGTGTCGATGTAACCTCCACGTAGGCACCGTTCTCCAAGCTCTGCTGGGTATTGGAGTTACTGTTGACGCCGCCACCGCCACCGCCGCCGCCGCCACTGCTGCTGGTGCTGCTGCTGGAGCTGGTGCTGCTGCTGTTGCTGCTGCTGCTGCTGTCGCTATCATTGTCGCTCTCCGCGTCGCTGCCCTCCTCCGCCTCGTCATCGCTGTTGGAGTCGCTGTCATCGTCGCTGCGCAACGGCGCCGCATCGGCTGCCACTTCCAGCTCGCAGACCGGCTCGAATATCCAGCTGTAGTCGGTGCTGTCATCCTCGGCCGCCTGTTGCGCGGCCTGCTCCTGTTGCTGCTGCTGTTGCTGTGGCGTCGCCTCATTGGGATGCTTGCTGTTCATGTGCTGGTAGAGCGCAAGCGGATGCACAAAATACTCGGCACAGCACATGCAATGGAACGTCAAATCTGGCGGCTCCGGCTTCGGCGGCGTCGGCGCCGGCGTCAGCAGCGGCTGGCAGAGTATCGGCGTTATGGTCAGCGGCAAATGATGATACGCATTCTTCAGCTGCACGGCCATCGTGTTGTGTAGCGTTGCGGTTTGTTAAGGCTTGAATACGAAACAAACAAAAGCAATTAATGCATTGAGCAAGGATTTTTGGTACCAATATATTTGAATCCCTTCCGATGCGCTAAGATTGCATTGAACGAATCGAAAGATAGCCCCCCCTCCGATTCAATAGTTTCTATATCTCTATCTGGTTGGTTCAATAAACAATAAATATATATAAAAATTGGAGGATATATGCTCACACTAAGTAAATTCAATAGAATCCAGATTCGTCATGTTCATGTGCTGCCTATGAGCTTCTTTTTCATGTTAATTAAATTAGAATGCGAAATTATGAAGAAAAACAAAAAAATAAATCCATTTTTGCCCTGGATTCATTTTAGTGAGAAATATGATATTATAGTAAACCATATTATATATATAAAGGGATATATATTTATTTGGAGGTTATAATTTCAAATAACGGGAAATTATCTAAAATGTCCGTAACCCAACCTTTTTGGATAAAAAAAAATTGCCAAACAAGCCAAAAGGCTTATTTAACTATTAATCATGGATCTGCTGGACTTTCAGATGGAAATACCCATACTTTGTTTTTATAACTATGCGAAATTCCACAGCTAACTCTAAAGCTAACATATACTATCGTGGCTTATAAGCTTCCTCTAAAATAGTACCTTGATAGTTGACTTGTCTAAGCGACCCAGTCAGCCGGGTTCAAGCCCCGGGCTTGGCTGATATTTACTCTTTAATGTCAATGAAAATAATCATATATATCGAATTTTTTACCACACATGCAACATACGAACTCTATATATTTATATGTTTGTTAGAAAACTCAACTATTTTGTGCACAAATTGCATAAATACTATTTATATGCTCGACTTGTTCGTTTTGTGCCCTGCCTCTGCACTGACTAAGCGAGTAGTTGATTTGTTAGAAAAGTGTATTTATCTTAGATACATATGTAAGTACATGCTTATATATGTATATGTATATGCATGTACATTAATGTATGCACATACTTATGTGCATGTGTATGTATACATGCATACATACATAAATATGTACTTAAGTATGCGGGTAAAAATCAATTTCCGGTTCTTACCTTCTGTTGTGTTGTATTTAGTTATTTTTCATAGATTTAATTTGGGTATTAACAATTGTAGCTAGATGCCATTTAAAAGACTCTTTGTTTGTCATATAAACTATACATGTGGTTATTTAACTGCACTACAGTAAAATTCAGGTTTACAGTTGTAATACGTTTATTTACACAATTAGCGTTTAACAATTTGGCCTGTGCCTCACCATAATTTTATACAATTTACCACTGTATTTTTGCCAAACAAGCGGCGGTGCACTGGCAGTGCGTGTAATTTAAGCATTACATTACACAAAAAAAGTCCTTTTATTGTAACAACAAAATAATAAAAACGACGCTTACTTTTATTTTGTGGCGCAGACACGTTCCAATTTAGTTGACATCTAGATGTTGCATGTCGTTGTATGACACTCATTTTTATTTCACAGGCCCGTATGCTGTTCGCAATAAACGTACGACAAGGCAAATATTTGTATAACTAAAAAGTGTCTGTTGCTATTACAACTAAACTTTTGAGATGAAATGTTTTAGGAAAATACAAATTGTTTAAAATTTTGATAATATGCTAAAAAACAAATATATTTACAAAAGCACATTTTGTATAGTTATATTTTCGGTTGTTTTTCCATACAATCTTTGTACGATAATATGAGTTGATAATTATGGAATTGATGTCTTATATATCATTTAAAACCCCATAAAATAATTTATTTAAATAATTTCACCCATTAATTTGCTTTCAAGCAGTGTAAGCAAAATATATGAGATGCATACCAAACAGAACCAGTGTTGCAAGGCACACAGAATACAGTGTTGAGCTAGATTGCAAAGCAGAGTCCCGGCATTTTTGTCGCGTGCGGATAGTTATTACAATTTGTATATAAAAAGAAATAAAAAAAAAATTAATTACCAATGGAAAGTCCGTTCCAGCACAGACGCAGCAGCCTGCTGCGCTTGCCCTTAAATAGCACAGCAAATAGTCAGGCACAAAATCTATCGATAACGCTGCTGCCGGATGAGCAGGAAATGTTTAGAAACAGCAGCTCGCGAGCTTTGGGACTCTTGAGGTCTTTGCAAAGTCGCACGATCAACGCCAACGATTTGACCAGCCTGAGCGGGGACAGCACACTTTTAGCAGACGACATCGATGAAGCGGATAACGGACGCGGCAAAACGGACATTCTCTTTGGCCACTTCTACGAAGTGCTTCACGCGCACAACAACACCAACGACACGCTGGATGTGGTGCAGCTGCTGGCGCAAGCTTGTCAACAGGTTGTTGAGCAGCTGGAGCTGGATATCGAGCGTGGCGTGGGCGGCAACCATGGCACCAAGCAGCGCGAGTCTAGCGTCAAGTGGTTAAAGCAGGAAATCAACACCTGGCGTCTGCTCCACGCACTTTACTACGATCGACTGCTGCTGCAGGCTGATACGCAGGCGGATGATGAAATGCAGGACGGACCCATGCTGGGAGGCAGTGAAAAAGAGGTGCGTATAAAAACCGGCATTCGAATTCGTGTATTTTATTGAAATGTGCATTTCACAGGTTATACAGCAGCTGTATTCCATAAATGCGCAGCTTCGTGAGTATCAGTTGGTGGTTGACTGGCTGGAGAAATGCTACGAGCAGAAGGATCAGGCAAATGCGTTGCAGAGTCACGATCGCATGATGGCCTGGGAAAATACGCTCTTTCAGCTAGAGAATCTGCAGGGTGCCGCCTTTGGACGTGGCCATGAGATATGCAAACAACTAGATCCGGACGCGCCGGTGCGTGAGGGTAAACCGCTTCACGCCCTTGACATGGAGGACAATCTGCGTTTGGGTCGCGCCATTTTCGCTGCCATACGCAACGGACACATCGATGAGGCGCTGAAGCTGTGCAAGCACTTTGGCCAAACCTGGCGAGCGGCCATCCTGGAGGGCTGGCGTCTACACGAGGATCCCAATTTTGAGCAGCACGTGGCCGGGCAGTCGCATGAGAAGCTGCCCATTGAAGGCAATCCCCGCCGCGACATTTGGAAGCGTTGTGCCTGGCTATTAGCCGATTCCAAGAAATATGATGAGTACACACGCGCCACAGCGGCCGTGTTCTGTGGCCACTTGGGAGCACTGAAATCGCTGCTGCACAGCAGCTGGCACGATCTGTTGTGGGCGTATATCAAGGTGCAAATAGACATACGTGTCGAGAGCGAGATTAGGGGATGCTGTATGAAACGCTATCAACCCATGCCGGATGAGTATTGGAATGGCAAAATGACGCTGGAGCAGATCTTTGATGAGCTGAGCGTGGCCAAGGACGTGTCTGTGCGCGACTATGCCCAGTGCCAACTAGGCGTCATCCAACAGCACATCATACTCGATACGTGCGGCGAGCTGTTGCAGCATATGTGCCGCTGGCTGGACGCCGTGCCCAAGGAGGCGCAGCTGCCGCCGCATCAGCTGCGCTTCATGGCACACATTGTGCTATTCATGCGCCAGATTGGACGAGTCGAGCAGCAGCCGCAGCAGCAGCAGGCGGAACGCATTATCGCTGCCTATGTGGAGTCACTAATCCAGCGTGGAGACCCACAGCCCATTGCCTACTATGCAGCGGGCCTGCCCAACAAGCTACAGGTGCAGCTCTATGCCAAGTTTCTGACACAAATTGATGAGAAACGACTGCGTCAACAAGCGCTGGATGCGGCCCTGCAGGCAGGCCTCGATGTGGAGCAAATCACGCGGCATACTGTAGAGAGCATTCGTCTGGGCAGCACGCCACCCGGCATACAAGGCGAGCCGCCGATCGGTTCGATATCTGCAGCCGACAAGCGCAAGATTCAGTCACTTGAGTATCTGATTCATTTGGTAGAGCAGCGCGGCGAACTGCTCTGGCAGGCCAATGCCATGATGCGTCACTATTTGGCCAGCAATAAAATTGAGTGTGTGCGTCAGGTGTTTGCCATGGTGCCCGGCGATGTGACTAGTCAGCTGATCAATATTTATGGTGCTCTGGACAACCTGGGGCCTCGCGAAGAGTGCAGCCTCAAGGAGTATCTGTGCTACAAGGTCTATTTGGCTGGCGTGGACAGCTTCAATGACTGGACCCGTCTGCAGCAAGCGCGCCCTCAGCCACCTCAAAAGGGCACACAGAATTCCGGCCAAGCGCAGGACAATTTCACTGAACGCATGAATGCACAGCACAAGGAGCAGACCTATCTCAGTGAATTGGCACGCTGGGAGCAGAAGGTCAAGGAACAGTCTAAAAGTAAGACCGAAATCAAACCCTACTTTCACTTTGTCTAATCGTCTGTTTACTCTTCCCCTTCCCCGCTAGTGACTACGGATGCACTGTTTAATGTGATGCTGTTTCCAGAAAAGGGCTGGCTCAATGATCCCTTCATTGCCAAGGAGCCGGAGAATGCAGCGTTGCTGCACTGGGAGAATCGTCTGCTGCAAATGGAAAAATTGCGTTCGATATGCCTGCCAGAGATTGTGCTGCTTCTGCATGAGGTTATGGCAAAATCGCTCGATCATGCGGGCTGTATTCGGTTGGCGGACGAGATTGCCGATGAGCGTCGACAGCTGTACAAGGTGTACACCAAGCACAAGCTGGCCGAGCTGCTGGCCAAGATTGCTGATACCTCGCTGCAGTTGCTCAATTGTAAACTGGATCCTTGGGGTTATCCCATCACTGCCTAAATGCAAATTGCTATCTTATTATTTAAGTGAACGGTGCGCAACAGCGATTTATTATTATAGTTTTATGTAATTTTAAACATTTATTGGGGACTTTCACTTACAAAGCTAGGGCAACGGGATTTTGGGAACAGAAACGAGAAACTACACCTAAGTACTGGCCTCGTTGGCGACTGGCTCCTCGCAGCCATTGCTGTGCTTTAGCAAGTACGAGGCCAGAAATTGTATGGGATCTGTGGGCCGTTCACGTGCCAATGCCTGCAAGCCGTGCAGCAAAACGGGTGCCACGGTCTGATCAAGATATTGGCGCGTTGGCAGCGCGCTGGGATCGGCACGCGGCGCAGGCGGAGCGCTTGGCTTTTTGGCCGGTGGCGGCTGCTGAGCGGTGCTTGCTGATGTGGTTGATGCTGTTGCTGCCGCTGTTACTGCAGCTGCTCCTGTGCTGGAGCTGGAATTATTGCTTGTTGCTGGTGCCGGGGCTGCTGTTGTTGCAGTTGCCGCCGAATTTGCTGGAGCTTGTGTATTGTTGCTGGCAGCGGCAGCGACAACGGCACTGGCTGTATCCTTAGCTGCCTCTGTAGTTGGAGGCGGATTCGTTGATGTCGCTGGCGAATCGTCTTTGGCCTCCATTGCTGCAATCACTTTGATACTTTAATAAATCAAACAATTTTACTGGCGTCGCAGGAGGTGAATATTTGATTTGGTTATATGTGGAACCAATAATGTATACTCAGATGGTCACACTGCACGCTGACAATCAGAATTCAAGCAATATGGTCTGCCGATAACAAATCGATAGGGGACTAGCGATACATTTCCAATTACCGATAAATAATATAATATAGAATTTGTTTACCCAGTTCCACAAGAGCATCTACTTTGCAACTTTTACTGTTAAAAAAAAAAAAGGATTTGCAATGAGTGCTCGAAGCTTGCGTCAGCGTCCACAACGTCCAAAAGAATCCATTGACGATAATAGTAGTACAGAAGCCGAGAAGACAAAGCGCAGAGGAAAGAAGAAAGGTTGCTATTATGGAAAAAGCAGTGCCTACGATGAGTACGGAAACATTAGGTCCAATGGGTTGGACGTTTGCGATTGCATGAACGAAGAATGTGATGGATGTTGGTACGAGTGCCGCAGTTGTGGCTCAACCAGATGTGGTCCGCAATGTCGCGTCAATAGAAAGTTCTTTTATGAAAACATTGTGTATGATGGCAAAGACTTAACAATAACCAACAAGTATCTTCCTGGCAAAATGTAATTGTTCAATTCAGTTTAAGCGCGTATAACCATAAGTCCTTTATTTCTAATATAATTTAATTCATACATAATTTGTAGTTTTAATAAGAAAATATATTGCTTAAGACTATTGATAGCCCACTAATCGAACTGGTAACGAACTGCTTTGAAAATTAGGTCAAAGTTTCATTGTCAACCTACAAAAACTGAATTTTTTGATTTAAAGGATGCTTTCCAAGTATATTTTAGGTTGCCGCTCCGAATAAAAAATATACATTAGGGAGACTCCGTGCATCGATAACTGTCGGTCATTGTTACTTAATTAAGATATCGATAAACATCCATCTCTAGCACCGAGTAGCCTTCTGCGGGTGCTGAAAAAAATTGTTAAATATTAAATTGATTTATTAATTAAATATGACGGAGCTGTTAATAGATCCGGATATACGCGTTTGGGTGTTTTTGCCCATCGTGCTCATCACATTTTTAGTTGGTATTGTGCGACATTACGTGTCCATTCTGATATCCACACAGAAAAAGGCCGAGATGACCCAAATCATGGACAGGTGAGCAAGGTTCACTTCTGAAATTGTTTTTTTCATATATAAACGTGTGTTTTGTGTTCGGTGTCACAGTCAAGCCATGATCCGCGCTCGGTTGCTGCGCGAGAATGGTAAATATCTAAGTGCCCAGTCGTTCTCCATGAGGAAGAACTTCTTCAACAACGAGGAAACGGGCTACTTTAAGACACAAAAACGGGCGCCGGTTGCGCAAAATTCTTCCGCCATGCTGACAGACATGGTCAAAGGCAACTTTATTAATGTGCTGCCCATGGTCGTTATTGGTGGCTGGATCAACTGGATGTTCTCTGGATTTGTGACCACCAAAGTTCCCTTCCCCCTTACACTGCGTTTCAAGCCCATGCTGCAGCGCGGCGTGGAGCTGGCATCACTGGATGCCGCCTGGGTGTCATCGGCTTCATGGTATTTCCTGAACGTCTTTGGCCTGCGCTCCATTTACACCCTGGTGCTGGGTGAGAATAACCATGCGGATCAGACACAAGCCCAGGCCGATGCTATGACCGGCGCAGCCATGACAATGCCCCAGGACCCCAAGGCGGCATTCAAGGCCGAATGGGAGGCACTGGAGATAACAGAATATCACAATGCGCTCAAGAACATCGATGCGGACATGATGAGCATCGCCAACGAAGCAAGCGCTTCCTAGCTGCGACCAAAGAAACGCAAACGGAAACAGATAGCCAATAGGCGTGCGTTTTGTAAGGTTACCTATTAGCAAAATTTAGACGACGTATTTTAACAAAAAAACCAAATTTGTTTTGAGTCGAGTCTTGCAATAAATATAAACTATTATGTCTACGTATTGTACTTTAGTTGTTACTCTGCCACGCCCACAACTTTTATGGAATGTGCCACACCCTTAATAGTAAATTTTAAGTATACATCAAAAATAACACAAAATAAAGTAAAGTAAATCAAAAGATTTCGTAATCAACAATAGGCTATTTACAGCCGCCGGAAGGGAAAGTCAACCTTTTGGAACGTGAATAAACAAAAACAAGGATATTGTTGAGTCGAATCTTGCATTTAATGAACTATATATATCTACGACTAACTAATTTAGCTGTTACTCGGCCGTGCCTCTGTCCAGTTGCGTGCACAAATAAAACTAAGTTGAACATTAAACATAAACATTAAAATAATCTTAATAATAATACGCATCCTCAGTGGGCTCGGTTTGTGCAGGCGGCTCCTCAGATACGACGGGAGCTGCTTCAGCTTCAGACACTTCAGGAGCTGACGCTATTTTAACCTCCGGTGCACCCATATCCATCTCGGTCTCTGTCTCTTGGGGCACAGCCGCTTCTTCGATTTTGGTCTTGGACTCGACCCGTCCCGTATTAAGTGGCGATGGTGGACGCGCTGTTGGCGGAGCTTTGAATTGTTTCTCCTTCTTCAAATCCTTGGGCTTGCCCAACAGCTTATAATCATTGGGTAGTTCAGCTTCCGTGTAAAGTTTGTCAGTGAAATAAACGCGTCTGATGCGCACGTTGGCATGCACCTGGAGGGAAACGGTCTCCAAATAGTTCGAGCCATAGGCGCGACGTGTAAAATCGGCCAAATTAAATTGTATTTGATTCCAGCCTGGGGACATGCCCATGGGCATGGCCGTGCAGAATGGCTTCACCGATGTCTTGCTCTGGAAATTGGACACGCGGAAACGTCGCATAAAACGCTGATCGTCCTGAATCTGTAAACAGACGACCGCACCTAGGGTAAGTCCAATATGTATTTGCAAAAAGCTCACCTTAACTTCAAAGCAAAAATATTTGTGCATGTTTTTAATGAGCAGCACCAAAAATGGCAACTTAATGCCCAGCTCTGCCTTGCAATCACTTGGACAATGTATAAATGTGGTTGATACATTAGATCCCATTATTTCCAGCACCAAAGATTTAATGTCTTCATCATAAATACGTTTAATATAACCATTTTTAGTCTGTCAGAGTGCAGTGGAATTTAGAGCTGTTCGCCATTGAAAAGGGTTTTAATTGACTTACATATGTGGACCATTTGTCCAGTGGAGAGCTGCCCACACTGTATAGTATCGTCAGGAATCCCTTTTGATATGACGCGCGATACATATTGAAATATTTTGTGTAATTTATATCAGTTACTATTTGTAAAATGAAACGGCAGCTACTGAATTGTCTCAGTACAGCCAAATGGATACAATGATTGAAAACGTAAAGCAAACTAAATTGTTTTTTGTAAGTTTAGAGTTTACAACTATCTCTATGGTAGAGGGCGGGACTAATTGTAGAACGGATTGTATGTGATCCAGTGAGCGCGCTCCTGTTCCTTGTCGGTTTTGTGACTGGTAAACAGAGATTTGTACACATCGCTAGCCTTCGGGTCTTTGGCTACACTGAAATCTGTCTTAAGGCGCTTTAATTCTGGATCTTGCATTGCATTAACCGCGCCCAGGCGCTTGGGATTGGCTACAATTTTCAGTTTGTTGGCGTTGCCATTGCTGGTGGTGGGCTTGTCTATCTTACTGGAAGTAGTGGCAGCTGCATCAGCGGTTTCTGATTTTACACAGGTTTCCGTTTTCTTTGCATCCTTTTTGTCCTTCTTAGCGGACTTGCGCTTAGCAGCACGCATTTCACACTTAACTTTCATTAGCTCCAAATCCTCATCATTGCCATTAAGCACAATGACGTCCTCGACGCTGTACGGTACTTGGCAAAGTGGGCACACACTGGCCATGCTGCCTTTGATCTGTTTCAGGGCGCGCTCCGACATGACACAGCCGCAGGTCCACAGCGCAACAAAGCGGAACTTGCCCGACATTTCCAGGCCAATTAGTTTGCAGATGTAAGGCGCATGGCGTGTGTCCAGCAGACCCTCGCTTTTGTCCTCATCCGTGAATGCTGGATTTGGAGTTAGTTGCAGCGTCTTGATGTCCTTAAGGCTGCGCACATGCGCCGAGGTCTCGGGCATTTCCAGCTTCTCTAGCAAACGTTCGATGACGCTCTGCTTGGAATACAGGCGTCCCATTGTACACATAGCAATTGGTTCCTGCAAACGCTGCTGGGTCAGCGCACAGTGCAGCCATCGAAATTCTCGCTCTGCGTCTTTGTCTTTCTGCGGGAGTTTCAGATCATGAGAAAAACAAACACCTTGATTCATCAAATTGACTAACCTGTTCTGGCTTTTGCTTGACGCGCACAAGCTCATCCCGCCTGGGTATGGTGCCACCATCGCAACCCATTTTATATTGATATTAGTTCGAAGATTCTTAAAGTATTATTGTTTTTACGTGTGCTTCCTCTTCCTCTTCTTTAGTTATTTATGTTATGACTGTATGGCAAATTAGAGATTGGCAATCATCGATTAATACGTTTTCTGCTTAATTATCGATATTTCTGCTGCCAGAAAAATAACCACCGCTAACTTGAAGCATAGATACGCAAATAAATATCGATACGATTTTAAAGTATTTATTTTCTGCACTTCTGCCTACATATATTTTTGAAAATCTTGGTGTATAAATAAATATAATAACAATTTCTTCTTGATAAGTCTGGCTTAGGGTTATTATGGCCAGAATTATGATTACCAGCAGCAAACAGCTTCATGAATTGCGGTTAGAGTCTGTCATACCATCGATAACATTGACAAGCATCGGTTGCAATAAGCTAATAATGTGGCCCCCACACGTTACTTTCACACACTCGCACACACACATGCACACACCTTGTGTCAAGTCAACACAAGAAGTGTTACATAGTTTTTTCAGTAATTAAATCATTTACTTCACATAAATTAAACATAATGTCCGATCAAAAGCAAAACGGAGATGGTGATGACCTGAACGAACTGCTCGACAGTGGGTGTCAAAAAGAAACGCAGAAGCAGCCTGTCTAACAGCTTACATAACAAACATCCATTACACTTCGCAGATGCACTGCAGGACTTTGACAAAAGCAAGAGCGGGGCCAAGCCGGAAAAGCCCGTGGCTACCGATGGCACAGCAGTTGCAGCCGGCGAGGGCGGCGACGATCCCGATGCATTTTTCATGTATGTAGAAAACATTGCTGCTTGTCATTCGAATCGCTTGAACTTTGGAATTGCAGCGAACAAGCGAAAATCTTAGCAGATCGCATGAACACACTGTTCGGTGGGCCAGACACGCCGAGTGGCGACATACCACCAATGCCGCAGGATCCGGATCAGATAATGGCCGGTTTCAAGAAAATGGCCGAAGCGGCCGCCCTGACACTGAGTGGTGAGAACACTGCCAACGACGACGAGGTGTCCAAGTATTCAGATAGCATTTCCCAAGCCTTGAAAGTGCGTAGCTCCCCAAAATGTTTGGACATTTATTAATTTGTATGTCTTTGTATAGGGCCTGCAAGAGGGCACCGAAAATCTGGCAGCACCTGCATCGGAGAACGATATAGCCAGCATGTTTGGCTCCATGAATTTGGAGGTAAGCGCCTTGCAAATACCTATCTACGCATTAATAATAAAAATGGTCTCACGAATTCCAGGGTGGCGATGGTGATGGCAATAATTTCCTGCCTTTTATGGAGGGCATGATGCAGAGCCTGCTCTCCGCCGAGATCCTACTGCCTAGCATTAAGGAGCTGCTCGAGAAGTATCCAAAATATCTCGAGGAGAATGACTCAAAGCTTTCAGCTGAAGATAAGGACAGGTATATTACAATAAAATTAATGCCGACCCCGCCCTGTTGCTGAACAAAAGTGACTCACAAATGTTTACATAAAATTACATATGCAGTGAAAGTTCTACGAAGCGAACACCGATGACGATTTGGTGGTTGGCGTCCGTCCAACAGAGTAAAATTTTGTTTACATATGAATGAAACTAAAAAGGCTTCCCTTCAAAGGAACTGTCCGTTTGTAGAGCATTCACTGTACATTTACCATCCATTTGTATTGTATTTATCTTTTATCACACTTACAGCTTATTTACTCTCGACTTCTGTCTTTTGCAGGTACCAAAAACAGTTTGAGCTCTACAAGATTATTGAGGGTCATTTGCAGAGCGAAAAGCCCGATGATACGGCCACCGTAAAGCGTGAGAAATTCCGCGTGGTGCTGGATGACATGCGTAAGCTGCAGGATTATGGACAACCGCCAGCAGAAATACTGGCCGAGACGGGCGGAGATCTGCCGTTTGGGGATCCCACAGCGGCTGGTGGTATTCCAAATCCTCAATGCCCAACCATGTAATTGGCGGCTTTTGGGGCTGTGTCGTTCCTGGTGGAGTGCCAATGGCCGAGTGCGCCACTATCTGTTGAATGTTGCACATTTAGGCATAGGGACATCAATTAATTGTAATTTTAATCGACATCATGTGATGATTAGTCTTTGGTGGTTATACATGAAGAGAATTTTGTTTTATATTTCCCTTATCGTTTATTTATGTTCTCTACGTAACACAAAATATTAACATATTTCAAATCGAAAGCAAAAGTCTTAAACTAAAGGAAGAAGCGACGCCTGGACTCCATGGCATGCCGCTTGTTGCTTATGATCCAAGCGTAGTCGCCCGTTTTGCTGTCGAAGGTGCCCTCCTGCAGGGAACGTAACTTGAGCGTAAAGCGTGGTCCCAATTCGCGCAGCTTGACGCGTTTGCCCTCCTTGGAGAACTCATAACGATGGTGCCGAAAGAATATATAATCGCGCTGATTGTGAAAGGTGACGGCGCGTCGGCCACGGAATTCCGGGTCATGATGGAACAGAGCGCCCAGCATGCGACCCACTGTTAGACCCAGACGAGTTGTAAAATTGGTTAGTATAACCTCCGGCCGATGCTTGGTTATCTCCTTGTGGTTGCGCTTAATGTCCGAAGTCAGCTTTACATTGGACAGCTTAAAATGCGCCGTCGGTCCGTTGGGCAAGTGTATGACCAGCAAGCCGTTGGGCTTACGTCGATCTTCATTGACAATGACCACGTCTGTGAACTGTTCCCGCTCGGCGCTTTTGCAGATTTTCTTCACCGATGCCTTGTTGCGTATCTTGACCAGCGCATTGGGAAATATGCGCGACAGCTCCAAGCCAAATTTGCGAGTTTTCGTCACCGGGTTATCGGCGAAGGTGATGAGCACCTTTGGCTCGTATATACGTTCGAAATACGTACTGAAATCGTCGATCTCTAGCTCCTTGCGTAGCTCCTCATTATCGGAATCGTTGAGATTGCTCACCTCGGTTTGATCTTTCTCGCGCAGACTTTCTATGGTGTGACCTGGATTAGCTGGCACGCCCGCCTTGCGACGTGCTCGTCGCTCCTGCATCTTTTTCTTGTGCTTTTCCTTTTTCATTTTGCGATAGAGCGCCATGCGCTGTTCTTTGTTTTTCATTAAGCTCAGAGGATTTAGCACTGGCAGGCGCGCCTTTTTATCATCTTCGTCGTCCTCATCGTCATCCTCTTCCTCATCATCATCATCGTCACTTTCTTCAGCAGAACCGGCTTCAGCTTCTGACTCCTTCTGCCCCGTTTTTTCTGGCTTTTCGTCCATTTCCTTGTCGCTATCGTCGCTGCTGTCAGTGACTGCTTCCTGAGCAGGCTTCTCGGCTTCATTCAGATCCTCGTCTGCAAAGCTGGAGTCGCTATCTGAATCCTGCTCCACGGGTGGGGGCTGTGGTTTTCTTCTTGTTTTACCCATATTCTTCTAATTAATAAACCAGAAGTATATAAAACTATAGCCGAGCGGCACGTGTTGACGTTCTGCTTCTTAACAGCTTTGCCATTCACACAGGTGCGGTGCGGTGAATGGCAGACTGTTTTTTTACAGCGTGCTGTTAAAGCATAAACAAACGCGAAATAATGGAATTTCGTGTATTGGAATTATTTAGCGGCATTGGCGGCATGCATTATGCTTTTAAATGTAAGTTAATAATTAATATAAAACCTTTAAACGCCTGCTATCAATAAACTTGCAGATGCGCAACTGCCCGGCGAAGTGGTTGCCGCCTTGGATGTAAATACTGTGGCTAATGCAGTTTATGCACATAATTACGGTAGTACAAACGTGAAGACCAGGAATATCCAGAGCTTAAGTGAGAAGGAGGTGACCAAACTGGGTGCCAATATGCTGCTTATGTCGCCACCATGTCAACCGCATACGCGCCAAGGCCTGCAGCGAGACGTGGATGACAAGCGCTCCTGTGCTCTGTCCCACCTCTGCTCTCTGATACCGCAATGCGAAACGCTGGAATATGTGCTAATGGAGAATGTCAAGGGATTTGAAGGGTCTCAGGCGCGTAAACAATTTATTGAAGCTTTAGAAAAAGCTGGCTACCACTGGCGTGAGTTTATTCTAACTCCCACACAGTTTAATGTGCCCAATACTCGTCATCGGTACTATTGCATTGCGCGCAAAAGCAAAGATTTCGATGTTGAAGCGGGAAAAATCTGGGAGCATATGCCAGGCGCAAATGCTGATCCGACTCAGCAGTCTACGTGCAAAATATCCACAATTGTAGAGCCTAATGTGCCTGCTGGAACACTTGTGCCGGATGACGTGCTTACCAAGCGGGTTCTTGTCATGGACATCATTCACCCAACCCAAAGCAGGTCTATGTGCTTTACAAAAGGATATACCCACTACACAGAAGGTACCGGTTCGGCGTTTACTCCACTTTCTGAAGCGGAGTCCCATAGCATATTCGAGGCAGTTAAAGAAATTGACATGGATCCTAACAGCGCAAACTGTGAAGCAACACAACACCGGCGTCTTGAACTTTTAAGAGAAGTAAGATTACGCTATTTTACGCCCAGAGAAGTGGCGCGGCTTATGAGTTTTCCCGAAGATTTTGAATTTCCCGCCGAAACAACTAATCGTCAAAGGTATCGACTACTGGGCAATAGTATTAATGTTTGCGTTGTGGGTGAACTGCTCAAGTTGCTGACGTCATTATAAATACATCTTGTGCATTATTTAATTTCAAGAATAAAGTAGCTTTTTATAAATTTTAAATTAAAATGAATTGCGCGTAAGCAACAGATAAATTGAAACGATAAGGACAAGGTGCTATGCAGCCCTGGCTCCTAACTATCGCGTGTTATTCTGTGTGCTATCGAATTATCGATAAGAAATATATCCATAATAACCAATTAATCACAAAACCTCGGACTGCTGCAAAACCAACAATAAGTTTAGTTAATACAGCTATACTAAGCTGCTTTGGTCAAAATGATACCGAAAAAGATGCCGGTAAAAGATGCGCATATAGTTAAAATAGCCGTTGAGCGCGAGAATCATATGGCGCAGTTAATAAACCTTGATCAAAGACATCCGCTTGCAAGTATGTGTATAAATAATAGTTGGCCAGCGTTAAAAACAATAATTTATGTTATTCGCGAGTCATGCAATTGTTGTTTGTTAGCGAAGCAGACATTTAAAATGTGTTTGTGTTAATTTGGAAGAGTTTGTTAGGCTCCAGCTAAATCCAGCGCCAACGCCCTTTGCAGTTGAGTTTGTGATGTCAGCATGAGCTGCCCTCATTAAAATGCACGGAAGCGACAGGAAATGTTGGTGGACGTTAATCATGAATTGTCGAGGATGGCATCGACCCAACTTTTCTTTTATTTTTTTGTTTTCTTCACTCTAACTGTTCCCCATACTAGGAAGCGTTAACCTTTTAAAGGCAGAAGATAAATATTTGGACCCTTTGTGTGCCAATAATAATAATCTTTCGACTCGCAGGTAAAATCCAGGAAATCTGCAACATCTGGTCCATAAGCGATCATCAGAACTATGCCTTGCAGTTCTGCGAAACAAACAATATGAAATATGTGACCGAAAAGAATCGCAATGAGATTAAAAACGGCTCCGTGCTGCGTCTACAGTATTCACCCTCGAAGACGGCCAGCGATGCGCTTGAAACACTGATAAATGGCAGCGCGCAGGACAAGGCACAACGTCTCAAGGAGTTGACTTCGCTTAGCATGGATCACACTTTTGCGCTGGAGTTTATCAAGGAGAAGGGCCTGGACATACTCATCAAAATGATCGAGGATGTCAATCAAAAGGACGAAGAGATACTTAAGTATAGCCTGGCTAGCTTTGTGGAGTTAATGGAGCACGGCACTGTGTCCTGGGAGGTGCCAGAGAGCAGCTTTGTGGCACGCAACATTGAAATTGTGCGCAATTTCCAAAAGTATCCCGCCAAGTGCGGCGAGAGTGCGCTCTCCAATCTCGAAAATATTGTGCAGAGCAGCAGCAAATATGTTCTGGTGGCAGAGGAAATTAAACTGCAGGATATACTGCGTCTGCTGCAGGAGGTCAACTCGCCGGTTATGCGACAGAATGCCATTGCGCTGCTTAATGCCCTCTTCATGAAGGCCGAGGAGCCGCGCAAGCGCGCTATTGCCCATACGATAAGCGCCAAGCAATACCGCCTGGCCCTGATTGGCAACGGGCTGAGCACCGAGATGACCCACCAGCTGTACGTGCTGCAGACACTGACGCTGGGCTTGCTGGAGAAGCGCATGCGCATGAAAATGAATGCCCAGGATCAGGATGCGCACGAGAAGATCAAGGAGCTGCGTCGCATTGCCTTCGATGATTATGCTGGCACGCTCAGTCTCAATGATGAGCACATACGTCGCGGGGGCAGCGGCGGTGGCTCCGGCGCTGGCAATGTCAACTTTTCGCAGTACTATAAGAAACTGGGCTTTAAATGCGACATCAATCCGGCACAGGACTTTATTGAGACGCCACCGGGTAACTATAGCAACTCAGCTCCATATTAACTAGCCTCTAATTTCAATTATAACCTTTCAGGCATTCTGGCGCTGGACTGCATGGTCTACTTTGCTCGCAACTACACTCAGCAGTACACGAAGATTGTGCACGAGAACTCATGCCGCGCGGATGAGCACGAGTGCCCTTTTGGCCGCACCTCAATTGAGCTGGTAAAGGTGCTTTGCCTTATTTTGCGCATAGGCGAGCCGCCCGCCGAGCAATCGGGCGACTTTCAGCCCATGTTCTTCACGCACGATCAGCCCTTCGAGGAGTTTTTTTGCATTTGTGTCATTACGCTGAATCGCACCTGGAAGGATATGCGCGCAACCGCCGAGGACTTTCAGAAGGTGTGCAGTGTGGTGCGCGAGCAAATACAGCGCACTCTGAAACTGCGTCCAGAAAACCTGGAGGACTTTCGCAGCAAGATTGCATTGCTAACATATCAGCAGATCACGACATTGCGCCAACAGGAGCGCACCTCAAAGGAGGAATGCGATTCGACGGCCTCGGCCATTGTGAAGCTTAAAGAGAAAATATCACCACAAATTGTGGAGCTAATCAAGCAGCAGCGTCTCTCATTTCTGGTGGAGGGTAAGGAGCCTGCTTCTAATCTCCTGGACACCAACTAATTCGTTTCTTTCTCGGCAGGCACTCGTTTCGCCAAGTATTTGCGCGGCACACGCACCAAGGACAAGTTCTGGTATGCACGTCTGTCGCCCAATCACAAGGTCATACACTATGGGGACTGCGATGAGAAGAACATACCCACGCTGGAAGAGCTGCCCAAAAAGTTGCCCATCATTGACATCAAACAGCTGCTGGAGGGCAAAGAGTGCCCGCACATGAAAGAGGCGCGCACGCGCAAATCGCCGGTTAATTTTGCATTTTCCATAACATTCGAGTGCATGGATCACTCCACGCTGGACTTTGTGGCGCCAGATGAGAGCATCTTCAACTATTGGACAGACGGCATCAATGCGCTGCTCGGCCAGGAGATGTGCAGCAAGCAGAAGAAAGAAGACTTTGACACGCTGCTCTCCATGGAGATCAAATTGCGTTTACTCGATACCGAGGGCGTGGACATTAGCAAGGATCCGCCGCCCATACCCGAAGATCCCGAAAACTATGACTTTTGTTTCGAAAGTTAAAGATACTCAGTATTCGTTTTTATCTTTTCTTTTATTTTATTGCAATAATCGTTCGTTCCAAATTCTTGAAGCATACCCCAAAATACATGCCAAAGTGTACCCATTACATAGAGAAGAACATTTCTCTCCGATCTGATTTAGTATTAAACTGTGCAATGTCTAAACGAATGAACAAATGGAGCGGTCAAAAGTGCCGCTTAGCCATTTCGTAAACATTTACATACATTTTTTAAAGTTAATTATATTAAGTATATAATATTATTAGATATTCATTAAATACAACGTTTTATACATAACCATTTTGTACAAAAAGTAAAATTAACAAGAGAAGCGTATTATTATTTATGCTGGCTTATAATAGGATAAAAACTAGCGCACCGAAGCCTTAATAGCCTTGCAGAGCATAATTTCAAGTGTTATAGAGAGATCTATAAGATAATGGAACTTTATCAAGTTCTAATTCCTGCACGGTAAAGTTTTTAAAATTACAATAATTTCTTGAAGCTTAACCTATCTTTAACCTTTCCAAAACAAGGACAACTTCAATTCCGCTTACCAATTGATAAAAACCTTTCGCCATGGAGCCTAAGCCGAGTTAAAGCACAAAGCCTGGAGCAAAATCAAAGCACAGCCGCCTCCTTGAAGCGGTGACTGTCGCTATTATCCACGCACGGGCACCTTGCGCCGGCGAGCATGAGCGCGCTCCTAGCTTCTTAATCAAATGTTATCCTCTAAGAGCAGATCGTTGTCATCGCTTCGATCCGGCAGGCAAACAAAGAACTCCAGCAGATTCAAAATCGGCCCGCGCGAGAATGGATTCTGATAGCGTCCGCGCTTATCCCGCAAATATGGATAACGCTTGTAGTTGAACATCTCGTTCGTGGTGAGATTCATGCAGGCATGCAGGATCTGCAAGGAAAATAAAACAGTTTTAGCGATTGTCAGCCACAGGCAGCCGTGTGTGCCTACCGAAGTGCAGGTGAGTATCCAGCCCAGACCGCAGAATACGACCGCCTCGATCAGCCCGAGCACATAGAGCAGCGTGAAGCCCTCGATCATGACACAGTAGCAGGCAAAATAAATGGTAAATGAGCAATTGACGGCCACCGAAAGCACGAACAGGAAGAACCACATGCGATTGCGCAGGCCAACGCAATTGTAGATGAAGGGGCAATGGTGATCGAAGTAGGAGACGCAACGATTGCACACACGGCAGTGCTTGGCGCGCAGCGGGCGCAGGCAGCGGCAGCTGTGGCACAGCCGGGTGAGCATCACATTGCGTTTCTTCAGTTTGTCAAAGTAGGGTATCTGCTTGATGGCGCGATAGTAGGCATCCGAGCTGAGCGGTATGTAGCCGGGATCACGACGATTCGCAATGGCCCAGCTGACCCACATGACCACGTTCCAGTAGATGAAACAATAATGCGAACGCCTCAGTATGTTCCACGTGATGGGTATGGCGCGTATCATGTACATGGGATAGCCCCATAGCAGCACCGAGAAGAGGAAGAGAAATAGCGGTCCCTTGGAGTCGCCGGCGCCGCCAAACAGCCAGCCCCAGCTCTCCGATACGGATGGTATCCAGCGTGACTTTTTCTTCACCTCGCCATAGAGCAAACGCACCACATCCTGATGCTGATGCGCCTGTGCCAGCATAATGGGCGTCTTGCCGTTTTTATCCCGCGGCTCCAGCTCCAGCTGTGACTTCTCGCACAGTAGCCGCACGCAATTGATGTTACCGGAGAGACAGGCCAGATGCAGCGGTGTCGAGCCAAAGTTATCCGTCTTTTGCAGCTCCACGCCGGAATACATGAGCAGACGCATCAGATCACCATGTCCCTTATATGCCGCCCAGTGCAGCGCCGTGTCGCCATTGATGTCCGTCAGATTATTCAATGCACCCATGCCCAGCAGATAGGCAGCCGTCGCAGTGCGTCCGTACATGCAGGCCAGGTGCAGAGGCGTGAGTCCCTTGAAATCTGCCGCGTTGACAGCCACGCCCGCCTGCAGCAGCACCTGCACCACAGAAGCATGCCCCTTGCGGCAGGCCCAGTGTATGGGTCGAGGTCCCTGTGTGCCCAAGCAGGGTAAATCAATGGGCGCGGTCCGTTCAATTAAATAACGCATAAGCTGCACATTGCCATTGAGCGCAATCCAGTGAGCGGGCGTATAGCCGTGCCGATCTCTGGCCGAAAGGCATTCCATGCCAAACTTCTCGACCAGATTCTCCACTTCGCTAACTTCGCCGCTCTTGATAATATCGAAAATATCATCCAGATTTACGGTGGCGCCGTCCAAACCCTCAAATAATAGCATGTTGCTGTCGTGCTCGCTGCCCTCTCCATTATTGGCTGGCCCGTTGGTGCCCGGCGGCGAGTGCGGACGATGATCGATGTCAATGTCAATGTCCGCATGGGCGTGACCATCCTCCTCCATGTTGCATGACGAGGAGGCCGTCAGGGGCAGCGCCCAAACACTGCGCGCTGCCCCCGGACTGGGGTGTACCTTGCTGGAGGCCACGTTGTAGAAATCGAATTCTACGCCAAGACGTTCCGCTGTGCCACCCGATAGCGGTGGTTGGTGGTGCAACGGGTTTTCCAGTAAATGTGCAATTTTGTTGGCTTTTAGGCAACCGCAGGCTAAAAAATTCGTTTACTCTACGTAATTGTATCGGAAATAAACACCAGGACATTAATTATGTCAGCAGGTTAAAAATCAATATTAACTGCGAATGTAGGACATTCGAGTTCGAATTGGCGCCAATTAAAAAACAGCTGGGCTTATCGATTACCCTTTAGCTTTTCGATAGTTACGTATTTTACTGTTGGCAATGCTGCAAACCCCTGTCAGTCGCCTTCCTCTTTCAAAACAATATGCTGCCGGCTTCTGTTAATTTTAATACTCGGTTTTACAACTTTTGCTAAAAAGTAGTTACTATAAAAACAATTTGTTTATAATACAAACCTAAAAACATTATCCAAGGATAAAAACAAGTAGCTGCAGCATTTCCATTAACAATTTGCCGCCGCTGTTAATAACATTTGAATACCTTTTGGCTTAACAGACACAGCGTGCTGCAAGAGCAACAACAACGTGGAATCGGAATGGGTGACAACGTGGTGTCGGAATTAAATAATTTGGATTTGAATAAGCAAAAGGCATGTTAAAATCCTTGTAACTGCATTCGTGTGTATAAGAACATAAACGTAATTAAGTTATGTTAAAAGTGTTGCCGTTCGTTGTTGCGTTTAGAGGCAGCAACTGTAAAACTGTGCACAATATACGAGCGCTATCGTTGGCCAAAAATCAACAGCAGTTTATACAACCTCAACAGCAGGGCATAAGCAGCAGTCGGTGCTACGCAACTTTGGTTGGTTTCCCGCTCGCAATTGTGTTTCTATCTATTTAACTGTTAAATGCCACATCATATTCACCTGGGCATGTTGCGTGTGTTTGTGTGTGTGTGAGCGTTTTATTGTCATGTGTGTGTCTACCAAATGCCAAAATGAATCACAGCCGGCGGCTGCTGTTGTGACGTCACTAAATTCAACTGCAATTATTCCGCCACCCCTCCTGCCCTCAAACGCTGACTAAACTCGTGTGCTTCATTGCATCAGTTTCTTCCGAAAGTAGATAAAGCAAAGAACCAAAAACAGTTACTCTTATTGTCATTTGCTTTTTGGTGACAACTGTGTAAACGACAAAACAAAAACAGTGACACCGAAAATTCATTACAAATAATTGCTATCTTAACTGTGTACGTTGCCCACGTAGCAAAAAGAAGTTTGATACACTTTCTGATTTATATGATTGTATATTTATTACGCCTTGGCGATCTATTGATTTTTTCCATACGCATTGCAGGCGGCTAAAATGAAGAAGGAGAAAAAGGAGAAGCCAGCTGCAGGCGGCGGCGACAGTCGTAAAGGTAATTAAATAAAATAAAAAGCTACGAGAGAGTTACATTAAAAAAAAAGGAACCTTCGGGAGTACCGAGGCATAAATACCCTTGCAGACATATACATAACATATTAATACAAAACCGTTTCCGATTCGAATAAGATAGCTTATTCGATTCGAATAAGATAGCTTTTTGACTGGTTTCCTATGACAGGTATATTTTATAGAAATACGACCTCTGCAAGGGTAGGCCTAATATGTTTTGCCCAGGGAAGTTGTCTGAAAACGCACTCCTATCATAACCTCTCCCGCAGAGCTTAATCCGTGGCCAAAATACATTGAGGAGCGTAACGTATTCTGGGAGAAATGCAAGGCCGAGTATCTTGCCGAGCTGGCTGCCAAGCCGCGTGTGGCCATCAAAGTAACACTGCCCGATGGTAAACAGGTGGATGCTACCTCCTGGGAGACCACGCCCTACGATGTAGCACGCGGCATTAGCCAGGGTCTGGCCGATAATACCATTATATCGAAGGTAAATGGCGAAGTTTGGGATTTGGATCGCGTTCTAGAGGGCGATTGCAGTCTGCAGCTGCTCAAATTTGATGATCCGGATGCACAGGCCGTCTTCTGGCACAGCTCTGCTCACATTATGGGTGAGGCCATGGAGCGCATCTATGGTGGGCATCTGTGCTACGGCCCGCCCATTGAGAGTGGATTCTACTACGACATGCATTTGGAGGGCGAAGGCGTAAGCAGTTCATCTTCAAATCATATATTTATCCATTAACCAATATTTCTGCTTAGATATCCACGAATGATTACGGCACCATGGAGACGCTGGTCAAGCAGATTGTCAAGGAGAAGCAAAACTTCGAGCGACTAGAAATGAAGAAATCCGATCTGCTGGAGATGTTCAAGTACAATGAGTTTAAGGTGCGGATTCTCAATGAAAAGGTAACCACAGATCGCACCACGGTCTATAAGTGCGGCTCTTTGATCGATCTGTGTCGCGGTCCGCATGTGCGTCACACTGGCAAGGTTAAGGCCTTGAAGATCACCAAGAACTCTTCAACCTATTGGGAAGGCAAAGCCGATGCGGAGACACTACAACGCGTCTATGGCATATCATTCCCGGATCCCAAGCAGCTAAAGGAATGGGAGAAACTGCAGGAGGAGGCAGCAAAACGTGATCATCGCAAGATTGGCCGGGAGCAGGAGCTCTTCTTTTTCCATGAACTCTCCCCGGGCTCATGCTTCTTTCAGCCACGAGGCGCACACATCTACAACACGCTGATGAATTTGATTCGGGGCGAGTACAGAAAGCGCGGATTCCAGGAGGTCATCTCGCCAAATATCTACAATGCCAAACTGTGGATGACATCCGGCCACTGGCAGCACTATGCGGACAACATGTTCTCATTTGAGGCGGAGAAGGAGAAGTTTGCGCTGAAGCCAATGAATTGTCCCGGTCATTGCCTGATCTTCGACAATCGCAATCGATCATGGCGCGAGCTGCCGCTGCGCATGGCTGACTTTGGTGTGCTCCATCGCAACGAACTGTCCGGCGCATTGACTGGCCTGACACGTGTTCGCCGTTTCCAGCAGGATGATGCGCACATCTTCTGTGCGCCGGAGCAGATCAAGAGCGAAATGAAGGGCTGTTTGGACTTTTTGCGGCATGTGTACACCATCTTTGGCTTTTCCTTCCAGCTGGTGCTGTCCACACGGCCAGACAAGTATTTGGGCGAGCTGGAGCAGTGGGATGCCGCTGAAAAGGCATTGGCTGAATCACTCAATGAGTTCGGCATGCCGTGGAAAGAGAATCCCGGCGATGGCGCTTTCTATGGTCCCAAAATTGATATTACCATTATGGATGCACTGAAGCGTCCATTCCAGTGTGCTACCATCCAGCTGGACTTCCAGTTGCCCATACGCTTCAATCTCAACTACATTGCCGATGATGGCGAAAAGAAGCGTCCAGTTATCATACATCGCGCCATTCTTGGCTCTGTGGAGCGCATGATTGCCATTCTTACGGAGAACTATGCCGGCAAATGGCCATTCTGGCTTTCGCCGCGACAGGTCATGGTTGTGCCGGTGGGCCCCGCCTACGATGAGTATGCAAAGTCTGTGCGCGATCAGCTCTATGCCGCTGGCTTCATGAGCGAGGCCGACTGCGATGCTGGCGACACGATGAACAAGAAGATACGCAATGCTCAGCTGGCGCAATTCAATTTTATTTTGGTGGTGGGCGATAAGGAGCGTTCCTCGAACACAGTGAATGTGCGTACCCGTGACAATAAGGTGCATGGTGAAGTGTCTGTAGCGGAACTCATTACCAAGCTGCAAAAGATACGCGACGAGTATATCACAAATGAGGATAACTTCTAGGTCACGCTCCTCCATCAAAATGTACTCTATTTATATATCCAAAATATGTATACCCAGCTTTGCAAAGCAAACGACCGGCATTTTTCAGTTGTATTTTACGCTTACATTCATGAAATCCTCAAATAAATTATAGTCCCAACAAGGACAGACAAATTATGAACCCTGGGCTAGATAATTGATAAAGTCTAAAGTTGTAATACACTTGATAGAATTCTTCAAATCTAAAGTTTTCTGAACTTCCGAAAGCTGCAATAAAATGTTCAAATTTGGAATCCTAAATCAATTTTAAAGCAACGATCTTTAATAACTAGTTTTAAGTTGTTTCCGGCTTTTCAATCAGCTAGTCAGAACTGTTTTATGTATAGACATGAGTTATCCATCAATTTGTAAGTGGAACGTCATGCTTATCGTGGATATTCATAAAGCTTTTGGAAATTGTTGAACATATCGATAAGATATGTGGGCCAAGTTGAACGCAGTGAGTCATTTACCATGGATAATTCATAAATGAAGTGAGAGCTTGCTTTTTAGTTTTTTTTTTCTGTTTTTAATTTATTGCTAATACTTATTATGTTTAGTTTCATAATTTGATTTATTAAAAATTGCGTTTCGTATTTCAATTTTGTAAGCTTTTGCTTGTTGCGTAAAAAATGCACAAAGTTCTCTCGCTAGTCGAAGCAAAAAATTGTTAATGTTGTTTAAATTGTTAATTGTTTACACTGCCATAAAAATACATATTATATATATTTATAAATTCATATATATATATATATATATTTACTCATAAGATGCCAAGTTCTGCGCCAACCAACTGCAGCTGCCGTGCCGTCCACAGAATACAACCGAAAATAAAATAACAAACAAAAGCCGCAAACAAAACGGGGCTTAGTCATATAAATGGAACCTCATCGGTCTGCCAGTGCCTAATATGATCTCATTTTCTGGGTTATGCTCTGGGGGCTTGAACACATGCTGGCTCAGTGGTATCTGTAGTCGGGGGAAAATGGGGCAACCAGTACACAATGTGGAATGTTCTTGCGTGTGCTCTAGGTTTGGTTTCTTTTCTTTTGTTGTAAGTACAAGTTTTGGGAGAGTTTGTTAAGCTGAGCTCACACGTGCCAGATTGGCTAGGGAATGCTTAGAGCTTGGCATAGTCTGGCGTAGATTTGCCAAAGAGAAATTATTTCGATAATACATGATTTGTTTTATTTCTATAGCTCATGCCATATATTATATGGTGATAATACAGTGGACACTCGAAAATGAGAACTATTAGAAATAAGATATATACTTTAAATCAAATTCACAACTGTTCTGAAAAGAGAAACCTTTCGCTTTGCGAGTGACCACTGTCATTGCGCTCTAAATGGGAACAGGAAGTATCTTAGTTTTCCCCAGTTGTTGGGTACGTCTGAGCAGAGCTTAACTCTTAGCTTGGAGATTAGGATTTGGCGCATACTTATATATTGCAATGCAATGCATTTAACGTACATAATTAGCCGATTGCGTTAAATTAGTTTTTAGTCTATTTATGTTTTGCTATCATTTTGTTTTATACTCTTGTTTTTAGTTATTTTTTATAAATAAACTTAAACATAAAATTGTGTGTATGTCTGCATCTCATGTTTAGCTTGGTTTCTGTTTTCTGTTGCATGTTCATCTTTAGCCTGTTGCCCACATACACCTGGTGTCAACCCCGTCGCGCCAGCGTGTGTGTCAATGTGTGAATCTTTTTGAGGTTGTAGCGAAGGTTGTGCGGGTAGTGGCTAGTGGTGGTGGTTGTGGTTGGGAGGGAGCTGCGGGGTAATTGGGTAAGTGCCCAGTTCTAGCAGGCACAACCACCTTCGGGATCCTTAGTCTCATTGGGCGAATCTTTAAGCACAACCTCTTGCATATCCTCAGATGGCTTGTTCTCCGTGGAGTCCATGCCGGGCAGCGCCGCCGCGACGCGCCTAAACAATTGTTTCACATTGTAACCGGCCTTGGCGCTGGTCTCGATGAACATCACATTTAGCTCTTTCGCCTTGCGCTCACCCTCCTCGGTGGACACTTGACGTTTGTCAGACAGATCCGTTTTGTTGCCCACCAACATGATGATGACATCACTGCCACGCTCCGTGCGCACATCATCGATCCACTTGGAGGTCTGATGGAATGAGTTTGTGTTCGTGATATCGTAGACAACCACAGCGACTGTCGAGTCGCGTATATAGGAGGGAATTAGCGAACGAAAACGCTCCTGACCCGCCGTATCCCATAATTGCAGTCGCACAGTCCGATCCTCCAGGTACATCGTTTTAGATAGAAAATCAATACCAATTGTCGCCTGGTAGGTGTTGTCAAAACTGTCATACATGAACCGTGTAATCAGCGACGTTTTCCCCACACTCTGCTCGCCGAGAAACACCAATTTGAATTTTCGCAAAGGATTGCCAAAATCGCCGGATGACATGTTTACTATTTTTGTTGGTGCGGCCGCTGCTGCTGCTGTTTCAACTCTTGTACGTGTCGACTTTTTCTTAATTGCGGGTTTGCTGACCTCTCCTCGCCTCTCTCTTGTATACTCTCTCCACCTTTTGTTTTGCTATTGGGGCGTGTTACTTATGCGGCTTCTGCTGCACACGTTGCACTTTGTTTATGTGTATATGTATATATATAGTCGCCCGCACTTTTTTAGTCTCGTTTTGCGTAACGCTAAGTCCAATGATTTACGTAGTAGTATTAACAAAATTTTCGTAGAAAAAGTCAGCCACCAAGTCGATCTGAGTCAGTTGTAGGGATGGCTATCGATATACTATATCGATAATTGATTTCGTAGGCAATAATACCAACTGTTTGCCCATTAAAAATACCAAAATTAATACTGCTTCAAGCAACAGTCAACTGACACAATTTTAAAAATTGTGCAAAGCTTTTGATAAGTTATTAATGCTTATCGTCTAATGAAAATTATTGTTTAGAAATCACTTGACTTTTGACTTATCTGTCAATTGGGGCACTTTCATATACTACTCAACCAGTTCAAATGAAATATGTATTGTTTACATAGACCGTATTCTAATAACTTGTATCTTCCTAGATAGTTCTTATAATTAATCTAACCACCCTTCCAATTAAAATAGGCGCTTATCTATAAAGTACAAAAGCGCAAATTGAAAATTCTTATCACTGCTAAAAGCGTGCACATTTCGTATCTCGTTTTAATTTAAACGGCACTCGATAAAGCCATTTGTAAACAGTTTCTCGGAAACCATGTCGCTGAGCGGTCAAAAGACTTCAAGCTTATATCTGATTGCATGTTGCCTCATTTTTGGCTTCTGCGATGTGTCTGCGGCCGTCGTAAGAGCATCCACGGATCAAGTTGGGCCCAATGGACGAGTGGTGGGCGGAGTTGCTGCATCGGCTAACAGCGCTCCCTACGCGGTGTCCATGCAGTACCAAAGTACCCACTACTGTGCTGCCAGCATAATAAGCGCCAACTGGCTGGTAACTGCCGCCCATTGCTTAACCAACAGTGCACAGGTCCTTGGGAGCACACTAGTCGCCGGCAGCAATGCAGTTGCAGGAACTGCATCCACCACCCAAAAGCGTAGCATTACCTATTTTGTTGTCAATGAACTGTATACGGGCGGAACTGTCCCCTATGACATTGGATTAGTTTATACTCCCACTGCCTTCACTTGGACCGCTGCTGTGGCTGCTGTGAGCTTGCCCAAGTCGGGTGTGGTGCCCACTGGCACGGCAAACCTATATGGATGGGGAAGTACCTCGACTACAAATACGGCATCGTACCCCAGCGTTCTTCAAGTAGCTGCAAATGTTCCCATCATCAGCCTGGCGTCCTGCGAATCTGCATTAGGTTCAAAGGGCAAAGATGTACATAGCACTAACGTGTGCACGGGCCCCCTAACTGGAGGAGTTAGTATCTGCACTTCGGATTCTGGTGGTCCCTTGGTCCAGGGTAATGTTCTGATTGGAATCGTATCCTGGGGCAAGTTGCCATGCGGACAGGCCAATTCACCATCTGTCTACGTGCAGGTGTCTTCGTTTATATCCTGGATTTCGGCCAATCAAAAGGTCCAGTAACGTATAATGTTTATAATTCAAGAAATAAATACGTTCAAATATTAGTTTAGTATTTTAATCTGTTAGTATATATTTCAGTTCAAGCGTGTGAGCTTTTTCGAATGCTGGTCACGCTTTAACTGCACTTAAGATATCGATATTATTGCTACAGCCATTGTCTTGCAGCTATCGAGTAGGTCGACAAAAAAAAAAGAAAAGAATTCCAATAATTACAATTAGAGCACGAGTACCGCAACGCATTTAATTAATAGTAATATTGACTCGTGTCACAATGGAAGTCGAAACAACGACACCTGAACACAACAGAGAATTTGCGGATGTTGACATTAATAATGGCTCAGCGTCCGGTGCATCCGATGAGGAGGAGGTGCCAGCGCCGGGCAGTGTAACATTGGAGCATGAAAATGATTTATTCGTTTCGGCAATGACCCCGAGCGAAGTGCATGTAAGTTCCGCTTCACCAAGCACTCATAATATTTTGATTTAATTAAGCATAATTTTGCGTCGCAAATGGGCGGCGTCCGCTCTGTACGTTTATCTTTAACTTCCTCGATTGTTTGCTTTGTTTGACTTTTGTGACAACGTCACAAGCCTAGCTGACGCCCTTGCGCACACGCCCCTCGCTGCGCCAATTTGAATCCATGCGATTAGGCAGTGCATATTCATTTATTATCTTTATCAAATCTCGTATTATGTTGCAGCGTCGCATTTCTGCCAGCAATCTGGAGGAGGTGCTGACAGACGACGGGGACTATTTTATTCAAATTGTCATATCAGATCCCCAAAAGGTTGGCGATGGCATGAGCTCGTATTTGGCATACAAGTGAGTCACACCGCCTTATCACTGGTGCCCTAACTTATTTACCCTATTAATTGCCATTTCTGTTATTATGTAGAGTGACAACGAAAACCAACATTCCAAAATTTAAGCGCACCGAATTTAGCACTTTGCGACGTTTTAGCGATTTCCTGGGGATACATGATCTCTTGGTGAACAAGTATTTGCGCATGGGTCGTATTATACCGCCGGCGCCTTCCAAAAATATTATTGGCAGCACCAAGGTAAAGATGAGTCCACAGCAAACCGAGCCGGGCACACCAATCAATCAGGAATGGGTTGAGATACGGCGTGCCGCACTGGAGCGTTTTGTGCATCGTACAGCGCAGCATCCGGTGTTGCGCGTGGATTTGGATTTTATAAATTTCTTGGAAAGCGACCAGGAGCTTCCACGTGCCGTTAATACGTCAGCTCTCAGTGGCGCTGGCGTCATTCGATTATTTAATAGAGTTGGCGAGACGGTTAACAAAATAACGTACAAAATGGATGAGAACGATCCATGGTTCGATGACAAGATAACCGAAGTGGAGAATTTGGATGCAAATCTGCAAAAACTTTCATCGGCACTCAAATCGCTGGTGTCCTCACGCCGTGAGTTGTCTGTGCTGACTGGACTTGTGGCCAAATCGGCGGCTATGCTGAGCACTTGTGAGGAGCATACTGGACTTTCACGTGCGCTCTCGAATCTGGCCGATGTGGAGGAAAAAATTGAGCTGCTGCGCTCCGAGCAGGCGAATTCTGATTTCTATATACTCGCCGAGTTTATCAAAGACTATTTGGGGCTGTTCGGTGCTATCAAGTGTATTTTTCACGAACGTGTAAAGGCCTTTCAGAACTGGCAATACGCCCAGATGCAACTCTCAAAACGACGTGAGAATCGCGGTCGCTTCGAGCTGGCCAATCGTGTCGACAAGCTAGATCAGGCGCAACAAGAGGTTGAAGAGGTTGGGGCTACAATAATATGATATATAATATATGCGGTATTATAATGTTCTCTTCTTTATTTTACAGTGGCAGGGCAAGGTGCAGCGCTGTCAGCAACAATTTGATGACATTTCGTCGGAAATCAAGAGGGAAATGGAACGCTTCGAGCTAACCAGAGTGAAAGACTTCAAGGCTAACATTATTAAATACATTGAAGTTCAAATGGCGCATCAACAACAGGTAATGATATGCGATAACCAGTTCGCGAATTGCATTTCTAATCATATGTGCCCTCATCTTCACTTTACACAGATCATCAGCTACTGGGAGGCGTTTGCACCATTTGCCAGAGAAATCGTTTAACTTTCATTCAAATCGCCAGATGCATTTCCAACATGCTTAACTCACAGCATAGCGGCATTGCGCTTCGTATCTATACCTATCTAATGTGCGTGCGTTAATTTTGTGGGACCAATTTGTCGTCAACTGGAGGCGCTGATCTTGAAGTGAAGCTACTTGTTGCCGCTGTTGCTGCTGCTGCCGTTCGGCACTTCCTAGCGCTTTAAATTCCTCTCAATAATTGTTACCATGTGGTGCGATTGTGCTTGCAGATAAAGTTCAACTTTAATTACCGATGCATTCAAACACACACATACATATACATATATATATTTATATATATATATATATTATTTTATTCTTACACAGTAATTATTATTATTATTATTGCAAATTTTGCTTTTATTTTTGTAAATGTATACAAAAAATCAATGTTTATTAGAGACTTTTGGTGTAGTCTACATATCGCAAAGCGCGAAATTATTCTCAATCTATCTTCGGTATAATTTAAAAAAAAAAATAACTTCAATGAAGCCAGTTATTAAATGAATATGCATGAAAGAAATTGAAATGTAATTAAGTGATTGAATTGGGAAACCATTTTTCCCACGATTGTTGTTGGTTTATATATATATTTATGTATATTCGAAACACCTTTTGTAACATGACAAAGCAACATAATACTTTAACAAATAAATTTGTAAATATGTATGTAATATAAAAGTGTAATATAGTTAAGGAAAGCATTAGAAGCGCTTTTAAAATTCCAACGATTAGTTTGATAGGCAGAGTTTTATATCGATAGTTTTATGTCGACAGATTCATCGAATCGATTCCGTTTTATATCGATTGATTCAGTTTTATGTCGATAGATTCCGTTTTGTATCGATATATTCAGTTTTGTATCGATAGATTCCGTTTTATACCGATAGATTCAGTGTCATCGCATTGCGGTGAATGGCAAATGATAACTAATGTGTGTGAATGGTGAAATAATAGTGTGAATTTGTTTAGTCATTTCGTCTAGCGCTTTCTCGAATTTTAATCAATTTTAGTTCTATAAAAAACAGTCACAAGCCATTTAACGCATTTACTTGAGCACAAACAACGAAGGCGTTAGTACGCAACTATGGAGTTTCCACACTTGGGCCAACACTGCAACGAAGCCACATGCAACAGATTAGGTGAGTTTCGACCTCGACACGACAATATCTGCCACACTGAGAATAAATGACCTTTAATAAACCTTATGCAAATACAACTGTTTCGTAGATTTCCTGCCTGTTAAATGTGACTCATGTGACAAGGTGTTCTGCGCCACACATTACAACTACGAGCGTCACAATTGTCCAGGTGCCCACAAGAAGAACTTTCAAGTGCCCATATGTCCGCTGTGCGGGGAGCCTGTGCCGACGGCTCCTGGCGTTGAACCAGATTTAACGGTTGGCCAGCACATCGACAAGCAATGCAAATCGGATAGCAAAAAAATCTACACAAATCGCTGCCATGCGAAGGGCTGTAAACGCAAAGAGCTGATACCCGTCCTTTGCTCCCAGTGCAAATTAAATTTCTGTCTACGTCATCGTCACACCAGCGACCACGACTGCAAGCCTGCGAGTGCAGCCGGATCGTCTGCCCCGGTGGCGTCGGCGGGCACATCTCAGGGCATTTTTAAAATATTCACCGATACACGGTCAATGGCAGCGCAGGCAGCCGAGAAGCGACGCCAAAGCAAACCACAAGCAAATCCCCCAGCAAGGAATGTTCCACTAGCAGCTGCAGCCGCTGCTACACCCATTCAAGTTCAAACTATACAAGGAAATATGGTAAGACTTACTGGACAGACATATGATACAGTAGTCTGTAAGAAGGTACCTCTACATTGTTAGTAAGATGCCAGAAAATAGTCAAATCATTTTAAATTTCATCCCTCTCGGATTAGCTAGATTATAGTTGGAAAAATTCTCTTTGCATATTTATAGTCATTAAAAAACACGTCAGATACTTAAGTATTCTTGAATTTTTCAGACTGAGGACGAGGCTTTGGCGCATGCGCTAGCTTTATCCATCATGGAGCAGGATGATGCAGCTAATACAAATCGGCGCGGCGCCACGTCCGCAGCCAATACGCAACGCGCAGCGACTGTGGGTGGACGCGATTCGCAGCAAACAAATGGAAAGGATAAATGCTCACTTTCCTAGTTCTGACACCGTACGAAACATATCCAACACCTGACCAGCGGCCAATGTGTGCTGCCCTTTTATTAGATCTTTAATTAAACTAATTGTCATTTTGTTTGTAATTTATATTTAATGTTGATAATTTATGTTGACTTCGTCACATTCTCAGCACGCTTAAGGCTGCTTAGCAAAAATAATTCAAATCGAGTCTGTTTCCCAATTTGTCGAAACTGACTCGATTATTAGCTCTACTTGGTTAGAACACACTGTAATATACATGTTGAATTGCTTAGGTTTATAAATACATACATAGGAATAGGGAATACATAGGGATAACATATTCTGTATACTATGCTGAGCTTATCTGTGTGGGCTGCTGCTCGTTATCTGGCTTCTCCACAGTCACATTTTGAGGTTGTCCGGAAACTGTGCTCTGCTTGGCGTCTGTTGCCACTGGCAATGGAGTGCTTATAGCTGCCGGCGTCTGCTCGCCTTCGGGCTCTTCTACAACCACATGGGCTTGCTCCGCCTTGTTGGATATGCTGCTTAGCTTTCTACCAACTGTTGCACCCTCTACGGATGATGATGTGCTTATTTTACGTGCTGCCGCTGCGAAGCTTGCTACGCCTTCGGCGGCTAATATGCTGGCACTGGACAACAAAATGGACACCTGCTCTGCTGAGGGACAGCTCGTAATGATCATATCATCCGCAGAATAGCCATTTGTTGTTAACAGTTGCTCCAGCTTAACAAATGCCTGTATGATGTTGTTCTGCAATGGAATGTGTTTAAATTAAGTGCAACGACTCCACAAATTTGAAGCTTACAACTTACCCGTATGGGCCGAAAGATTATAAACTCGGTATCACGATTGCTCAGGTAGAGTTGCATCGCACGCTGCAGCACCGCCAGTTTGGCCTTGATTAGGCGCTGTGTCTCTTGGATAATGCTGCTGATTTGCTGCGGACTCGCCCAGCTGCTTTGCCGCAGCACATAATTAACTTTGCCCGTGGAGGACGCGTCTGACGCTGTTGTGTTCGTTGCTTTGGCGGTGTCGTGGGCCAACAGTGCTTGTGCCTTGTCCAGGAATGTGATGAGCGGACCTATCAGCATGTGTACTGCATCTTTAATATACTGCTCGCACACCGTCTTCAGCTGACGGTCGACTTCTTTGCGCGAGTCCAGCAAATGCTCCTTGATTTGTGGCGTACCCTCGAGCAGAAATTCGAGCAATGCATTGTTGCTGCCCATGGAGAACAGTTGCTTGCGCTTCTGCAGCAGCCCAAAGGCTGCCGTCTTCACCTTGCTGAAGTCCAACGAGGTTTCCTTTATGGTAAAATCAACACGAAACGGTGCGATTTGCTCGCGCAATATCAGCAAATGCTTTACTTCAAAAAGTTCGCCATCGATGGGCGTCTTCGCGGCGGCTATCTTAGTCGCTGCATGGGAAACGCTCTGTATACACAATTTGAGTGCCTCCTGGGAGAGACCTTGGAATATGGGCCGATCCACGCAGCGGTACAGACGAGATAGACAGACCAAAGTGCGTCGCACTGTGGGATACCACATGCCATGCAGATCAGCGGGCGAATCTACAAAAGAAACAGCTTTAATAATCAACTTGGATGCTGATGTATTACACCTACTCATCTGTTTGACTCTGTAGGCGGTGTCCACGCTTTCCGCTTCGCTGGACATCATGGACGCGCGAGAATCCGAGCGTCGCAGCTGAGTAGGCTCTTGCAGTGACAGCGCAATGCTCTGTAATAGTAATAAAATGTTATTTAAAGAAATAGCCAAAATAGGGCGCACAAAATTTAACCTCCATCATTTCCAGCTTCTCGGGATATGCCAAATCGCCGGTCGAAGGGTTGTAGTTTTGTATATCGGATTGCAGATACAAATGCGCACGGAATACCAACCGCTCCTGCACATCCTGCAGCAGCTGATGAGCTATGGTCGCAAACGCCTCCAGTCCACTGGCTGTGTGGAAAATACAGAATGCCAGGTTAGTTAGTGGAGGGAAGCTAGAGTAATACAAGTATAAAGCTAGACATACGATTTTGTTGGACATGCTCTTCGAGCATTTCGATGCGCAATATGGAACAGATCTCTGCAAGCGTTTCCAAGTGATTTATGTGTATAATAAACGGCCGCAAGGTATCATACAAAATTGTGCACAAGCCCTCCAGATAAACACTACAAGTGAAAAATATATGTCAATTCATAACACACGGAAACGAGGGAAACTTACGTCAGATGCGCTGCGCCTGTGCCGAAGAACTGATAATACAGACGTTGCTCGTCCTGACAAACGTGGACAAGAAAGGCGCATGCACTGCGCGTTAGCGAACAGTGATCGCCCTTGTGAGCATTCTTCACATTCTGTATGGACTGATTGACGGCAGGTGACATGACACTGGCGCGCTGTGCCAGATAATGCTGCTGCAGATCTGTCATTAGCTGGACATATTCGCTGCTGCTGCTGTGATCAAGGCGCGATTCGATAAGCTGTGCAACGCGCTTCACTTTAGCCGCTGCTGTCTGATATTTGCCATAGTAGAGTGCAAATGCGGCATCGGGTGCTTGCAGCGAACCGGCATCGCCACTGCTGTTGCGCGGATGCAGTGTCGCCTCCGTGGCCTGGTTGATGACATTAACCACATAGTTGCGCACTAGGCCCGTTGCCTTGGACAGGCACTGCTTGTACTTGACATTGTAGGCAGCAGCGTCCTTGAAGTTGGGCTAAAACAATTCACAATTATTGGCTATTAGCTGGGATTCGGGCGTCTTACTCACATGATCCGCTAGATAATTCAAGCATTCGTCGATTTTATTGAGACACTCGCGGAAAGCTTCACTGGCCACGGACAACGTGGGGCTTTGCAGGCGCTGATTTAGCAGCTCCACCTGACTGAAGAAATGAAGTCTTCGTTGGATTTCGTTGCTTAGCTCCTGGAGCTTCTGCTGCTCATCGATTAACTGCTCGCTGGCCGTGTTGAGAGCGCTGGTCTTCTGCGAGACAAACTCGTACTCAGCGCTAAGCGCACCCAGCCGCTCCATGGCTACAGAGATTTGTTCAAGCATATGAGCACATTCCGACTTGCGTTGCTCCAACTGTTGCAGATACTTGTGGTAATTGGCGTCGCCACGTCGCTCGATCTCCGTGTTGACGTTCACAAACCAGAGCAGAAAATCGTTTGTGTTCTGCAGGCCTCCCTCTGGCAGCTTTATGTCCACCTCAGAGCTGCACTCCGTTGGCTTGGACGCTTTTGTGGGTGTGGACGACAACGTTGCCTATAATCAAAAAAGTTCATGTCAATTATTTGTTTTGACGTGCGTGTCCATTGGATGTTGACTTGCCACAGTTTCGTCGTCGTGCCACAAATTTGTGAGCACATCCAAGTGTTCCTCTTGCTGTGCGCTTAGCGCTGCCAGTGGATCGGTTTTGGATTCCCATTGCATTAGACGGTTACGAATTTTACGCAAATTTTCATTTTCACTTTGCGCGCTGGCGACGTCATCCATTTTCCTACTGCGGCCAACGCCGAGCCAAAAACAGCTGTTCGGCTTGGTTATTTGATCAGCTGTGCGAGTGTACACACTGCCGATAACAAAAATGTCAGTATTTTTTAGCTAGGTGTGCACACACTGGCTCTTTTATCGAAACTCCGAGTTTGTTGTTTTTGCGGCTGCTGTTTTATAGGCGTTGCTCTTTTATTATAATTATTTATATTGGACGTAATGGCCCCGCAACCGGTGGTAACGGGTCTGTCGCCCAAGGAGGGTCCGCCGGGAACGCGTGTTATTATACGCGGTGAATTCCTGGGTACACGTGTGCAGGATCTCATTGGTATGGAAAGCATTTCGTCGTCATCGGCCCAGCATCTTTACAGTATATTTTCCACGTATATTCAGGTCTCAAAATATGCGGCTCCGACTGTCTGTTGTCGGCGGAATGGAAGTCACCTAATAAAATCATAGCCAGAACTGGCCCAGCCAAAGGGAAGGGTGATATTATAGTGACAACTATAAGCGGTGGCATGGGCACATCCACGGTGCAATTTCGTGCTTATCATGAAACAATTGGACCGCTCAAGGAGTCAGCTGTGTGGATTGAGGAGTCGCCATCGCAAAACTTTGCCTGGGGTCGCCGCACGCTAACGCAGTCTGGCCTAACTCAGGAAGATCCGTTGGGTCTTTCCATTGAGGGAAATGAGCAGAAAATACCGGAAGATTTGCGCGATTTGTTTCCCGATGCTTGCGGTGATTTGTCGCAGGAGAATTTCTCACCCGCCTGGTTTTTGCTCGAGAATCACTTGGCCACTTCGTTTGAAGATCTTAAGGCTGGTCTGGCCTATCTAAAGCGCAAGGTGGAGAGCCAAAAGGAGGGACAACTCTCGTTTCTGAAATCAAATGCTGGCTCAGTTATTGATCAGCTGGACACGCTAATGAACATCCGGGATAAGCTGCAGGAGGATGTCAAGCTGCACGGAAGCGAACCGCTAAATATTCTCGAGCAGTCCATTGAGAGTGAGTACACACATACCCTTTCTCAAGCTCTGTCAATATATGTAGCTTATCTTGACCCTTGCAGACTCCATTAATGAATCGCAGAAGATCTTCACAGATGTGCTCGTGCGCAAGGAGAAAGCAGACTCCACGCGCTCGGTGCTCTTTGCGCTGTCGCGTCACAAGTTTCTCTTCTGCCTGCCCAACACTGTGGATCGTCGTGCCAAGGCGGGCGAGTATGACATTGTGGTCAATGATTATTCGCGCGCCAAGAATCTGTTTGGCAAAACGGAACTGGCTATATTTCGTCAGGTGCTGGAGGAGGTGGATCAGCGCATCTTGTTGATACGTCGACAGCTGCACGAGAAGGTGGTCAAGATGCCCCAGAGCGTGGAACAGCAGAAGAAGTTGATCAAGGCGCTGACCAGCCTGGAGCTGCAGCAGAGCGGCACAACCATTGGGGATCGGCTGCGCAATACGGATCCCGCTTGGGATGCCATCGAAGCACGTGCTAAATACTTGGAGGCCACCTTCCGCCAGACCTTTGAGCAGCACGCCAATAAGGATGCCGCCCCGCAGGAAAAGTCCAAGAGTCGCGATCCCAGCCAGGCGCCCAGTCGTGTCAACTTTTGTGAGGAACTCTGCGATATTGCTGCCTCCCAGCTACCCGATCTGTGGCGCCTGGGCCAGCTTTACTTCACGGGCGAATTACGCGGACCGCACGACCCAAAGCCGGGTGACTTTAAGCGCATGGTGCTAACGGCCATCGAGAAGTTTTGTGTCTACTTGCGGCTGGCCATACTCATTGCTGCCGATCAACGAGCCCTGCGCCAGTCCAGTGGCTTATCATGGCCCATTGGCTCCTCCTCGGCTACACATCATTTTTTGCCATGGATACCGCAATGTTTGCGTTACACGCGTATAGCATACGCCACACTTATTGGTCTGGATTTGCCCTCGGATGCACTGGACATTATACAGAAGTTAATCGATGAGGTGCGCCTGTTTTGTTTCTCTATCATCTTCAAGCGGGCCACGGATCGCTGCAAGAAGCTGGGCGCGCAGGAGACATGGGAAATGACAGTAGAGGATTATCCGGGTGCGACGCAGCTGCCCGCTGCACTGGAAACTCTGCTGGTGGAGACCCTAGACGAGGTGCAGTCTGTGTGCATGCAGCCGGAGGTGCGTGAGGGCAATCTGCTAGAGCCACATTCAGATGGGCAGCGCGAGGTAACACAGCGGCTGCAGGAGCTGCTGTCCGCATTCAGCGCCGTCATAGCCGAGTTGGCCTATTCAACCCACGACGATGAGACGCCTACGCATAATGTGTCCCAGCTGCTCGGATTTCCAAATGCCCAGCAACCGGAGTCGGTGTCCGGTGTTGGAGGCGCAGCTGTTAACTGGGAACAGCGCATGCTCTGCTGCCTGGCCAACTATGCGTATTGCAACAAGAGCTTCTTTCCGCACATTGGCGGAGTTTTCGTGCGCTACGGCTATCCGTTGCCCACGCTGGCCATTGAGACGGCGCGCTACAATGCCAATCAGCTGTTCACCAATCTGCTGGAGGAATATGTGGAGCATAAAGGTGATCCACTGGTGGGCACCATTGAGCCCTCCATGTACCTGGGCCGCTTTCAGTGGGATCACGAGATGGAAATTGGTCTGGGTCAGCTGCGTCCCTATGCGCACGAGTGCTGCGATAATCTGGTGGGTGTTTACTCCGAAATATACAGCATTTCGCCCTCACTGCTGCGTCCCATACTGGAATCGATTGTGCAGACCATTTCCGAAGAACTGGCGCGTCTGATGAGCTGTGTGCAGCGATTTAGCTACACGGGCGCCATTCAGGCGCATGTGGACATACGACTTTTGCGCGATGCTCTCGAGAACTATGCCAACGAGACGGCCAAGTGAGTTATATAATGTTTCCCCTTATTTTATATATTTATAAAACTTTGCTTGCCTTCGCAGAAACTACTTTATGGAGGCTCTGGAAGCCATTACTCCGCCACTCAACAGCGAGCAGAAGCGCAAAGCGGATGAGATTCTTGAACGCGTGAAGCGCAATATGCGGCTGCAGTTGCTCTGCTTTGCCGTCAAAGAGCCATAGGCACATTCCCTCTATAACTAGATATACAAATATTTATCATTTGCAATTACCATAACAATTACTTTTGTATTTATGTTCATCGCTTTCAATTACCAGTTCCGCCTTAGGGCATGAAAAATGCGTGGAACCCCTGTTTATGTAATATTTACGCTTTCAATATATATTACGCTGCATAAAATATTACTTGAAAGCTTGTAAAATATTAATCAATATAATCTTAACATTTTCATGTAATTGTAATTGTAATTAATGGTAATTGAAAGTATTTAATTAGCAAAAGCAATGGTTACATTGCAGAGTAAAACTCTATAAAACTTTCAAACAATAACTAAAACATTTTGAATAGATTCACATCGATGGCAAAATTGCCGCCCTCGCGATCGTTTTTCTCGATCTGCTGCTTGATGACCTGCTCCACATCGATGGTATTGAATTTCTCCTGGACACGCTGCTTAATGGGATTCTCGATGGCATCCATTATCTGATAGCGCAACAGATTAGGCAGCACATTCACCGCAAACTCCATGACATAGTCCAAGGTGCCGGCGCCATCGCAGCGCACCTGAATGTTGCCCATATCGAGCTGCAAATCGTTAATCTGAGGCCGTTGTCGTGTGTCCAGAGGCTGGCTAATCTCAACGGTGGCACGTATATACTGCACTGTGAACTGCACATGACCGACGCGCGTCACGAGTCCAAAGCCCAGCTCCCATTGTCCGGCGCCGGTAATCTGCTGTGTGCCCACCTGCAACCGCAGCGAGACAGTATTATTTTGCATGGCAGCTGTGATGTTGCCCACGCGATAGAAACTGGAGATGCCATTGATCCAGGTGTTGGACAGCTGTACACTAAAAACGCCCATTGTGCGATTCATGTCGGCCACATGATACGGATCGAGGCCCTTTTGGCGCACCAGCTTGCGTCCTTCGGCAATGGCGCTGTCCAGCGGCGTTATCGAATTGGGCATCCGGCGATCGCCCATGTTCTTCTCAATGAACGCATTGATCTCAGTACGCAATTGCTTGTCCGCCTCCTGCAGCATGAACGGCTTCATGGCATCGAACACAACATTGGGCGCCGAATTGATGACGCTCTGGAATACGCTGCCCAGGAAGCCGAGATTCTGAAAATCCATGGCCATCTCGCCAAAGGTAATGTCCATCTTAATCTGTTCCGTGGTCAGATGACCATCACGTTCCACGCCTAGCGTGGCCGAGCCACGCACATAGACATTCTTTAGCAGCACAGTAAACGGTCCGTTGGTCTTGGAGAAGAAGGAGCTGAGTATGTAATTGCCCTTGACCAGCATCTCGTCCAGCTGTATCCCTGCCTCTATCTGCAACAAAGATACGCTTTCAATTTCTGGTCATAATTCAATTTGGCCTTCATCCACTTGCCTTCATCTCCTTGAAGTCTGCATTGATGCTGGCTATGCGAAATTTGGACAGGCCGTAGGCCTTCACTTTCATCATGTTCAGATTGCTTATGCCGATGTTTTTGGCCATATCGGGCACTTCTATGGGATCCGGCACGGGTGCACCAGGTAATCCAACTGGATCCTCTTGCTTGTAGTGCTCCAGCAGCGCCTCAATCTGTGCGGCCAGTTTATTTTTGCTTGCCTCAATCTCTTGCGCCTCATCGCCCTCTTCCGCTTCTGCGGATGGGACAAGGTTCAACTATGCATTGGAACTACTTGGAGTTGACATGGAGTCTATCTACTCACCATTCTCATCCTGCGCCCGCGCTGGCACGTTGCAAGCTAGGATTAGAAGTGCCACGAGTAATACTATCAGCGATTTCATCTTTGTGCGATTTTCTTATAAATCTCTGCTTATCAGTTGAGGAACAACAACAACAACAAGACGAAGAGAATGATTACGGATGCGCGTTTCGCTGCCTCCACTCGACTCGGATTCGAACTGACGACTGGCCCGAGTTAATCAACAGATAATGATGAGCACTTCACAGCAGCAGCAGCCGTCGCAGCGCTTATCAAAGGGCACGGCTAATGCTGAGCTGAGATGAGCTGATTTGTTTTTTTTTTTTATTAAACTCGGAATTGAGTGAGCGCGTGGCTGGCGTTGAGTACGACTCGCCGGAAGCGGTCACCACTTTACAAAAGTTTTGAGAAAATTCCATTTAGCCGCTCAATAGATAGAGAGAGATGTCTCCTGGAAAACTGTTCTGTTTCTCTCAAGCCATTTATAAAATAGAAAGCTGGTTATATACGGCTCTTGCAAAAATGTTTTTAAATTTACAATCTGAATTCGTCGTTAGATAAATCTCTTTATTTAAATTTGCAAACAAATATTTTTATTGCAACTGGCTTTCATAATTCCGAGTATACACAATCTTAAATTAAGAGAAAAAAAATGTTTGACTTTCACGTGCTCAAAAAAAAAGGTTCATGCTCAAAAAAAGGGTTTCATGCTCAAAAAAATGTTCTTAGCCTAGAAAAAAAATTGCTTAAAAATATGAAAAAAAAAAGTGACCTAATAGTATGACATGTACTTAAAAATATGAAAAAAATTGGCTTAAAAATATGAAAAAAAAATTGGCCTAAACATATGAAAAAAAATTGGCTTATAATTAAGAAAAAAAATTATCCTTAAATCTATGCAAAAAATTAGTTTTTGTTTTTTGGTTTACAGCGACCGCATTTGACACAAAGCATAGTTACAATTATTAATTAGTTATCAACTTTTTGCCTAATTGTTACAATTCGTTGTACGACAAGAATACAAATTGCTTTGGATTTACCTAACTGGATTTAGTTGGTGCAGATCCTGCAACGCGGCGCCTGACTTAAGCGTTAAGTTTATCAAGTTTTTCATGTACATTAACATACAAATATATCACTTAAAGTTAGAGGTCACAAAATTAAAAGAAGGAAAGTAGGGATGCGTCATAAATAATTTCGGTTAGTCGCCCAAGTGTCCTCACTTAGGGTCTATATGAGTTTTGAGAGCTCTTTCCCGGAGACATTGGGATTAGAGTATATGTGTTGATTGTGGTTTTATGGCGAACCTGGTTGTACCAGGGTAAAACACTTGGGCAATATAAACATAAAATGAGTAGATGGTTGTGCAATAATTATAGCTGAAAAACAAAAAGGATGAAGGATGAGCGCTTAAGTCGATTGCAACCGACTAGACAAATGCCCTGTACCTGAGTGTAGGTATCATATATATCCCATATATGGAACGCAGGCACAGGGCATGGACATGACAAACAGCTCTGCTACCTACGCACAAATTGTAACACCAAGCATAGATGGCAACTACGGAACGAGGACGATATACACACACACTGGACGCAATAGCCCGGTCACATGGATTGCTTACAGGTCGTCGTCATCTTCGTTGAGGAAATACTCAAACATGGCATGCTCCTTGTCAGCGCCGAGGCTGTCGCCAGCGGCAGCATTTACAGCGCTGACAAGCTCAGCCGCAGTCTTGATGGACGAACCGCAATCGGCATCTAATTCGGTCGATTCCACGCCCTTGAACTTCTTTGCCGGTTGCTCTGTTGGCGACGGCGTCGATTGTGATTCCAGCGTTGGCTCCACCACAGCTGGCGGCGGCATAACGTACGCAAATTCAGGTATGGACGTATTGCCATCATTGCTACGCAGCGGCACGCGCTGGAAGCCCAGCTGAGCGGGATCGACGGGTTCGGTGCCGTTAAAAATGTTGAAGCCTGCAGCGAAAAAGCAAATAAATCAATGCCAAAAACGTAAAGCAAGCTTAAGCGCAGCTGGACTAACCCTGATATTGACCATTCTCGTTTTGCATTAGCACCAGCGGATGCTGCGTCTGCTGCAAATTGTCCAGCGGCACCAGAGTGAAGCCAGATTGCATGCCAGCTGTGCCTGCCGCTGCTGCTTCTGGTGCAGATGGCGTGGGCTCCTCTGCAGCTGCTGCTACCGGCGTGGGCTCTTCTGCAACCGTTTGCGTGGGCGCCTCTAAATTGGAGTCCTCTTCGTCGCTGGTATCAGGCGCATCCTGGTGCGGATTTTTGCAGCCAATGCATTTGCAATCGACACACGATTTGCCCGCCACGTAGCAAGTGCAACGTGAGTTGCGACAGGTCGCTCTGCCAGGTGCCGATGTGGTGCCACAGCGACAGATGTGGGACATGCGCGTATCTTTCGGTTTGGCCTTTTGGAATTTACCTGTTGCTGGTGGCCCGCGTGCCTTGACTGGTGTGGATGTGACTGGAAAAGCGGAAACGGTAGCTTTAGCTGCTACCGGAGCTGCAGCCACAACAGGCGCGGTTACGGGAGCTGCAGCTGTGGTAGCCTTGGCTACAAGAGTTGCAGCTCTTGTTGATTTGGCTACAGGAACTACAGCTACGACAGGTGTGGGAGCTGCGGCTACGGGAGCAACAGCTACCGGGGCTGCAGCTACAACCACGGGAGCGGCTACAGCTGGAGGAGGAGCAGCAGCTGCGACATTTACTACAGCTGCCGGAACGTTTGCTATGTGCGCTGCAGCCACGGGAGCTGCTGTAACTATTGGAGATGAGGTCGCAGTGGGTGGCTTGACCTGAACCGATGAGATTATGGTGGCCTTATGGTTGCGTAAATTCATGCGTGTGTCCGTCTGGCTTGTGACAACGGGCTCGCTGCTCTCCATTTGCTGCTCCAACTGTTCCTCCGGCACATCTTCAAGCAGCAGCTGGGCATGCCGACGTTTACTGCTCGCACCACCGACGGCAACTGGTTCGAATGCCGTCGTCGTCGTTGCTGCCATCTGTTGTGGCAGTTGCACAACCTGGCCAATGGAGGGCATATGCAGCTCGTTGCTGGGCATTACGTATGTTGTGTAGGTCGGACTGTTGGAATACGTGGGCAGCGAGAGGGCACCGGATAAGTCCACTTGATCAGACCAGCGGGACTCAATGTAACCGGCTGGCAGCAATGTCTGTTCGGCTGGTATCAGCATTTGTGGCTGCGGTGCGATGTGACTGTGTGTTAAAATGCGCGCACCCGGTGTCATCATCGGCAAAGGATGAGCGTACTGTGCCTGCTCGCCGGTTACCGCTGCTTCCAGTTCAATATCTGTGAGGGACAGCTGATCGGGCATATGCTGTTCGTACGGCAGCTCCGGCGTTGTGGCCGCCGTCGTGGGCGGCGTCTCAGCTGGCAGCGATGGAGGCATGTGCCCCAGGAAAGGCAACTCGGGCTGTGATAAAAATGTATCGCACATGTCCTCATAATTGGCGCCCTCCTGTATGAACCATTGTGTTGGCCTGTTCGGCAACCTGATGCGTGGCCGCCGCTCGATGTGGTAGCTGGTCTCAGTGTCCGGCTGCAGCTGGTAGAGCTGGGCGTATAGCGACGACTGCAGCAGATGCACACACAGCGTCTTATAGCACAGCAGTTGCATGGCCATCGATTTGTTCTCCTCGTAGGTCTTGAAGTCGCAGCAATCGTTGCACTGCGCGCAACTGGGCAACAAACGCTTGCGGCCGCGCAGGCACAGCCGGCACACATGATGGCCGCAGCGTTTGTCCTTCGGCTTGTACGGATCGTTCAGCAGCTGGCAGCAGACGGCACACGACAGCAGCTGGCGCAGTTCACCGATGCCGGAGTTTAGCTCTTGGATGCGGCGCTTGGACAAATTCGAGGCGGATTTCAGTGAGAGTCGCGTTATTTTTATATAAAGTTTTTGCGCCTCCATCGTATGGGCGTATCTGTGTGTGTGTGTGTGTGTGTGAGACTGTACAATGTGGATAAACCACCGAGCGACCGCGATTGTTTACAGTTTCCGTACTTAGCAACTCCGCTGGCGAAACCGCTGCGCTGCCGCCTGCCTTGCCGAAATTGCCCAGCAATTGTTTAACACATGTTATTTAAGATTTATTGCTATACTTATTCCACCGGTCAGCATCGAATATTGCCTGGCGTTCCTCTAGCAGTTGTTGTTGTTGTGGTTGCACTGTTTCACTTAGCGGCTAAATACTTAGAAATACTTTTCACGTGCCAAAAAAAATACAAAAAAAAAAACAAAAAAAAAAAGATGGATATGTAGTCTCAATGTTATTCAAGTCATTTTTAATTATCACTTTGTTTTTAACAATTGAAGAACAAAATTACCAAAGGTGAATAGAAACGCCGTGCTTGCGTTTTATATTCTTTTATGCAGTGTGACCGTTTCATGATAATTTGTGGCCTTGCATCGTGAATGGCGACAAAGCTGCCAATCTGCTTAGAACTGTTTATTACAGTACGCAGTCAAATGCAAACATTTTGCCTGCATTCAATCATTGGCATATATTACACAAAGTATTTTTTTTAAACATAAAACAAATATATCACAGTTAATATTCTGATCTGATAATTAAACTTGAATTACTTAGTTATCGGTTAAGATTGTTTTTTGACCCGCGTACTAAGCCTTCCATATGGCATAAAAGTCTGAACTGCGTACCATCCTTAATAGTTTATGCAGCCCTGCAATGCAATATGTAAACAATTGTTCGCAAATTAATTTACCGTAAATTATGTATATTTGTTAACTGCGATTCCTTATATATAATGTCGATGTACAGGCACAAGAGACAACGTGGCAAGAATTTCACAAAATGGGAAGAATTGCAACTCCTGCAGCTAATAAATGCGAATTATAATGTCACGAAAAATTCCACAACTATAACGGGCAAAACGAAATCCTGGGAGGATGTGGCCCAAAAATTCTCCAAGCAAACTGGAACACAACGCAGCTGGCCAGCGCTAAGGCACAAGTACAAAAGAATGCTCTAGAAATTAAAGATTAATATCGTCAAAGTTTGGAAACCGCGAAACCTGAGCAACAGAAGCTATTTTTCAATGAAGGTAAATACCGAACACCAGGTCCATGAACCTGATAAACAACTGGTTTGGGTATTGGCTGGGACATAGTTCCATAGTTTCGAACCTGTTCGGGTTGCAGTCTTGGTACATGGAGATCTAAATGAGCTAAAGAATGGAAACAAAGAAGTTGCGTTCCAGCAAATATTGTTCATACCTTCAAATGAAAAGATCATGTAAGTTAATCGGATTTTGTTTTTATTATTATACACATTCTAAATGAGTAAAACATATTTACACACATTTTCACTTAAAATTAACTAAACACTAGGGTAGATCATATAAAGATAGAGCTTTAAGTAGTATTATAACTTAATGATTTATACGAAATGCTGTCACTGTAAGGAGATGATTGTGTAGGCGACTTTGCCTAATTAGTTAGGCTCTACATGCCCGGTGTCACCCGGTGCTATTCTTAAGTAATATAGATTTAATATCTACGCTCTTGCTTCTCGTTAACAACGGCCAGCGGCTGGTAGCTGGGATTGGAGAAGGCGTCTGTGCTGCTGCTGCTGCTGCTGCCACCGGGCGCAGATTTGTTGACAAGATTCTTACGCGGCGGCTTCACATTCACATAGTTCTCGCTGCTCCCGTTGAGCGTCGTCTCGATGTGATGGCGTGGCGAGGGCGTGGGCGTAACATATTGCTGCTTCAGCGCCTGAGGAAAGCGGCGCGCCTGCTCGGGACTGCGTTCACCATCCGATGTGGAGGTGCGATGCAGCATGGGTATCTCCTCGGGCGCCTGATCCGCTGCATCCACGGTGGGCATGCCGTTCTTCCGGCGCATCGGCTTGTGTGCGCTGCTGTCCATATTGTTGGCCAGCGTTGGCGAATGCTGGCCCACGACGGTGCGCGTATCTGGGAACGTGAAAGAGGTTTCGTTTGTTTCTATGGCTGGCAAATCGGCAAATTCTGTGCTTTGATTCGCGTCGCCCTTGGGACGCGTGGGTGAAAATATGGCGGTGCTGTTCTCGGCATTCATTTGTAGGTAATCATCGGGTGATGCTTCGATTCCTGTGAACGGGTTAGTGTGAAGGATGTGTGTGTGGGTGGGTGTGTGTGTGTGTGTGTGTGTGTGCAGGCGGTTAGTGACCACATCCAAGCAAGCATTCCATATGTACTTACGTATATCGGGCACTATATGCCCATTGACATAGCGCGGCGCCGCTGGTGCAAACTCATCCGGCGAGCCCATTAGCGATAAATAGTCCGTGGGCCGATTCTTCATGTACTCCGTGTTCGAGCGCATGTACGGATCGTTCAAATCCAGATAGTGCTGCGGAAACCAAAAACAAATACGTTGCAATAATTTGTAGAAGGGTATATAGCTGGGCTTCAAACCCAAATAAAATTTCCCGTGGTTCAGTTCACAATTGTAACCCGCTTCCTGGCTTTGAGTATGGTTCGTGAACCTGATAAGCACCCAGTTTGAGCATAGTTTCCTAGTTTCAAACCTGTTCGGTTTTCAGTCTGGGTATATGGAGATCTACTTACATTGGCCACATCCTCGCCCAAAATGTTGGCAAAGCGTCGCTCCAGCACATTGAACAAAGGTCTGCTCTCGGGACTTATCATGAGAAAAAGGTATTAATTAATAAAATTAATCAGAAGATAATGCAATATTGTTTACTTCTTCCTCCAGCACTCGAGCATTATCTCATAGACTTCCTGATTGGCATATGGCGGCTTTTCCATGCGATAGCCGTCGTTTAGCTTGTTGAACAGCTCCTGATTGGGATCTATGCCCGGATAGGGCACCTTGGCCAGCGAAAATAGCTCCCAGAGCACAATGCCAAAGGACCAGACATCGCTGTAGGTGCTGAACACATGATCGCTCAGGGATTCCAGCGCCAGCCATTTGATGGGCAGCTTGCCGCTCTCTGCAAGCAAAAGAAGAGGTTTCTTATTAATTGTATGTATGCCAAGATATAAATGCAATTTCACTTACCGGACTTCTTGTAGTTATCGCCACGGTACATGGAACGTGCCAGACCAAAGTCACAGATCTTCACAACATTGTCCTCACAGAGCAGTATGTTACGGGCTGCGAGATCGCCGTGTAGTACCTTCTTCGAGGATAGGTAATACATGCCGCGCGCCACTTGAAAGGCCCAACTGAACAGGTCGGTGGTGGTCACGGTCATCGCCTCGGTGGAGTCTGTCTTGTAGTTGGAACGCCAGGCGGGTTGTATCGAGTTGTTGGACATGATATGCTCATCTGTACGGAAAGGTGCGCTCGTCAAGCAACCGAACTGGTTATAGGTAGCTGATCCCCGACACTTACCCTCTGGCACTGTGGTCATCACGGTTGCCTCTGTGGCGCAGGTGTCCAGCTGACGATCGTAGGTGCTGCCGCCGGTTACGGTGCGGCCGGCACGAGTGCCCGACCGTGGATCATTGTCGGAGTTTCTGCGATGAGTGTGCGTATAGTTGTTGTTTACGTGATTGATATATGGATGGTTCGGGAAACCGACGTTAACATATTTCAAGCCACCACCATCACTGGATGCACACGGTTAATATATATTGGGCACAACACAGACACATTTAGCAGGTTCAGAGCAGTGCATAGAGGAGGAGTAGACCATAAACATAACCGGAGCCACAACCACAAGCACGGGCATAGGCACAGGCACAGTTAGGTTTTGTGTGTTTGGATGTATTTTGGGGTAAGTTGTTTGTTGTTGTTATTAGTTAATGATTAGGGCATAGTTTAGTTAGAGCGTTTGTTAGCACAATTCGTATTAGTTTTAGCAGAAGAAACAAGAACAATGTTAGTTAACATTAGCTGTAAACCTACTGTTAGGGTTACCATGCGGTTACCATTAACTTACCGATGCAAATCAAAGTTGTCCGAAATACGTTGCGTCATGATGCTGGGATCAATGCGGTCATTTATGGGATTTATCTGATTGATAAAACACTTGCGATTGCGCAACAAAAAGTTCTGTATATTGCCAAAGCGACAATATTCCACAATGACCATCAATTCGCCTGGTAAAGTTTAAGGATTAGGTTAATAACGCAGAGTAACATATTTAGACAAACTATAGTGAAAGTCGAGGGGAACTTACGCTTTGCTATATTCTTGGTAACAGCGCCCAATAGATTTACAACATTCAGATGCTGTCCCAGATGCACCATGATTTTCAGCTCGGAGACCAGGGCGCGCACCACTTCCGCGTCGGCGGTGCGTTTAACCATTTTAACAGCCACGGTGCTGACGGGCTCATCGCTGCGTATGCCCTCGGCCTCGCCCTTGAGGACCACACCGAAGGCGCCGGCGCCTAGCTGCTTGCCCAGCTTCAGTTTGTCGCGCGGAAACTCGAATTCACGATTGTAGGGCAGCAGTTCGGCTTGCTCGTCCAGTGACAGCGCCGGATTGATTTGCTCCACATCGCCCTCCACAAAGTTGGCCAGTCCCGCGGCCTTTAAGGCCAAATGATTTTTGCGCTCCTCCCGATAGCGTACGGCCAGAAAGGCGCAGAGTGCAATCAGTACGCCGAAAAAGATGGCGCCCACCCAAATCCATAACTTGCTCACGCCCGGAATATCTGTAAAAGACGGAAAACAGTCGCAAATTAAGCTGAGGCTCTATCTCTACGAAGGTTCTAACTTACTGGCAATCACCACGGTCACGGAGTTCTCGATGCTGCCCAGGCGATTGGCGACCACACAGCGATAGATGCCATCGTGTTTGGGATAGAGATGGGGTATCAACAGCTTGGTGCCGTCCTCCACAAGGTGTGTGCGATTCGTCTCGAACAGCTCCACATCGTCCTTGTACCAGCTCACCTTCGCCTGCGGCACAGCCTTCGATTTGCACTCCAGTATCAGCGAGTCACCCAAGTTGCGTTCGATTTTCGATTTGGCATTGAGATTCGTGTAGGACCATTGTGGTGCCTTTGGATCGTGGACATAGACTGTAATCTCGCGACTATCGTACTTGTCCGGGTCATTGATGTACCGGGCACGGCATTCGTAGGTGCCGCGATCCTTGTCAGCAATGGCATGGAACTTGAGGGTCTTCGTGTAGGAATATTCCGTGCTGTTCGTCTCTAGCTCAACATCTAGGGGCAAGAACGATCAATCAAGACCAGTCAATCAATCAATCAATCAGTCAGTGCACCTACCTGGACCCTCGCTGATTAGTTCGCCGTCGAGATACCATTCCAGATTTCCATCGAAATGATATGCCAAGGCGGCGCAAGTGAAGCTCTCCTGATCACCTTTGGCTATCTTGCGATTTGGATCCAGGCCGGATATGCTAATGTTCTCGGCAATTGTGCCCAAAAGGACGTGTGCCCTGGTCTGTGATGTAACCAGCTTATTGTCGATCTGATTTTGCGCCACACAAATAATAATTCCAGGCTTATCGGGCGTAAAAATGGCCTCGTGTATCGACTCTACGCTTAACAGTCCGGGACGCGTCTTGGTCTTATACTGATCAAAATTATATAGAAGTTAGTTTATTCTATGTATTCTAAAACTTATTATTAGCATCTTGCTACTAGTCAAAAAGATGCTGGGTATACAATATAAATAATCTTTTCAACACAAATGAAACATAACGAATATTTTTCTGTTCTCTTTACATTACAGCTGTTAAGCTTAAGAGTTGTCTAACAAAGTCTGTAAGAGCAACTGCTCCTTAACAGCTGCCACTGTTGCTTAACAGCATTACTGTTAAATATTCCCAATTTCGGCTCGGAATATTTCGTTTGGGTTAAAAGCATATATGTATGATTAGCCTAAGCAAACCTAGTACCTGATATTCTTCCTGAACTGTTTCCGACTGAAAGGGCAATTGTTTGTCGCGAAGAGAAAATCAGGAGCAAAATCAAAAGAAAATGTATTGAAATAATTGAAGATTGATAAATTTGATATATGGAATTTACAAAATTTTTTTTTAGTATTTAAAATAACTAGTGAGTGGAGTTTGTTAGGAACTGCATAGTATATTATTTCGATATTATCCAAGCCGAAGTATATTTTTTAACAAAAAAAATGAAGGGATAACATTATGTTAAACTTGCTGTTAGTTAGGGCCGATAGCTTGATAATATTATGTTAAACTCTCTGTTAGTTAGGGCGGATAGCTTGATCGGTTTAGTTGGTTTATAAGGTTTCGTAGCTTGCACAGACTATTCAATACTTACACTGAAGTTTTGCGAGGCAAGCTCACACGAGGGCCAGCGCGGCTTGAGGCTACAGGGCTTGAATAGGAATGTGACAACAGCCTGAGGAAACGACTTGACACTGCAATTGAGATGGGCTTCCTGGCCGGCGACCACATAGACATCATCCATGCTGAGAACAGGTCCCGAAATGACGCTCACATTGAAGCTCAGCTGCTTGACATCAATGCCATTGGTGCCCTTGAGCACATAGCTGCCGCTGTCCTCCAGCTGGGCATTCTGGATTTTCAACGTTGTGCTGGTCTCGGTGGCAAGTATCTGAAAGTTCTGTTCGGTGTCCCAGACCTCAATGCCGTTGGGCTTGTACCACTTGAAGGTGGGCTGCGGAAAGCCCTCAAAGTTGGCCGTCATCTGTATAGTACGGTTGACATGCTCGTGCACCGTATAGTGATTCGAGGGCTCTGACACCTTCAGATAGCTCGAGTTGGGCTCTGTTAGGTTGGAATTATTTTGTTTGCTTTCTAGAAGGGTGAGCAACATGAGGAATACTTACGCATAACATGCATCCTGTAGGAAGCGTACTCCATATTCCTAAACGAGTCACTCACGACACACTTGTAGGCTCCTTTGTCGGTCAACCTGGCATCTGTCACGGTCAGCTTGCTGCGACCCACCCGGTGGGTGGTATTCTTGGCTCGCTCGTCGAACAGCGCCTCGGTATAGTTGTATCGAAACTGAGAATATTGAAATGGGCTTTCGATTAGGTTGCTTTTTAGAAAAAGGATTCCGTTTCTTGCGTGTATTTTATTTATTAGCCCTAAGATATCGGTAGATGGATAGATATCGACAAACCTACCTTGTCCACCTTGTCCGGAACAAGCCAGTGCATGTCGTAGGAAACGCCGTACGGTGCGGACAGCTCGCAGACTAGCTGGAATGTTTGTCCCTCGTAGACATGGCCACGCGATGTTGAGTTTATGTTGGGCTTGTTGAGGCGATCGGTCGCTTCTGTTGTGCGCGCAGAGAGCATTACGTTATTAGAGACAAATACTTAGACTAGAACTAATTGGGGTTTGGCAAGCGTATCTACAGCTACATGCATTGCGGTTAGTCGGGTTTTAGGGAATATTAGTTAAATACATGGACGCTCAGGTTTTGGTTAGACGCATAAGAATCTGAAGTAAGGCTTAACTGTTTATATATAAAGCGCTAATAATAGATTATTTTTGACATGCGAAAAAAAAGTCAAATCACAAGCGGAAAAATCCCTTAAAACAAACACAGAAACCCAAGCAAAAGTAAAAATAAAAATAAAAATACGAAAATGCATGACATTCAGAACAAGACAATAAACAACGGGAAGTGAGGGACAAGCGCAACAACTTACGCCCTTTTGGTTGCCTTGAGGGCAAGGGTTGCATCGGGGCCAACTTCGTGGGGCTGCGCTTTGGACGACGCGGCGAAGAAGACGACGATGGCGAGAAGGACGAGGATGATGATAACGAGGATGAGTAGTCAGTTTCTGGGTCTTGGGTCTCGGTGGTTACGTTATCGGTATAGTTATCGCTATCGATATCGTTATCGATCACGTTATCGATAGCGTTTGCAACATGCCCAGCACCAGAGATTATTAGTGCAACGGTATCATTTACACTGTTAGTAACATTGATAGATTCACCAGCGATAACCATAACCTTAAATTCATCGTGCGTTATGTTAGTTAACATCATAGACGGCACCAAAGTATTATCATCCAATCCGAATGCTGAGAATGTGTTAGCCATATTAATAAGTCAGGTAATAATACAGGTATAGAAACAGTAGAAATAATTAGCAATAATAGAGTAGCTAACGATAGATATCGGAATCTATTTAGCACACATAACCTCACATTTAAAAAGCATTTACGGGTTTAAATTCACCAAGAACTACTGTACTTGTGTGTGTGTGTGTGTGTGCATGTGTGTGTAATTGTGTTCTTGTGGCGTGTGATTAATGCATTTAAGAATTTTGATTCAATTTTCGAACAACTTTGATCCATAGCCATAGAAGGTGCAAATCCAATAACCGCTTTGAGAAATTTGAGAGTAATACGAGTATTTTTGAAAATAATAAAGCAATATTTACGACACATATGGACGGAAAAAATCACAAATCACAAACTTTGGGGTGCAAAAACTCACTATCAATGTGACCGTTACCAATAAAGCGCACAACTATGATCGTGCTTTCCTCTTCATTATCCGGCGAGGGTATTTTGGGCTCGCAGTAATATTCACCGCCATCGGTAACGCTGCGTATTTCGATAACAAAGCCGCGTTTCGGATCATATCGAGCGGCTGTCTCACTGGAAAATGTCTACGGACAATGCACAATATATATACATTATCGTCAGATTTATCACAGATATTAAATGTTATGTGTTGGGTGTGCAGCAGATAGAGAAAGCGTTAAATGACAAGACTTTCCTTCAAGTGAACAACAAACCTGAAAAATCGCTCCTAAACTTTGCTTCGCGAACTAATACGTATGTATGTATATTAACCTATATAGATGTATATTAACCTATATATATTTATGGTTATGTAATATGTACAAACGATATCAAATATTGTATGGGGGCTGACTACAAGCACTAATCATAGAACGTATGGACTGGACAGCTAGACTAAAAGAATGGCACCATGCATATTTTCGTCGACAGGTCCAAACTCGTCCTCGTTCCTGAGAGAGAGCACTGAGCGTAAGCTAAAGCAGTTTCCCGTAGTGCGAGCGAGATAAAAGACAGCAATGCCATTCTACCAAACAAATCATATGTATTTCTTACTCTCTTGGACGCGAACAATAACAGAGATGACTTTGGACCTGTCGACAAAAAAATCTGCATGGTCCCATTCTTCTACTCTAGTTGTGCAGTCTACATGTTCTATGCTTAATGCTACAAGACTACAGATTATGTCTATCGTTCAGCGATAATACAGCTATTTACTAGTTACAGTTTAAGTTCAACCTACTGTAATAGATTATTTCTATGTTGGGATCCTTTGTTTTAGTCGTGCTATTCGGTTTGCACTTCAAGTAGACGGGCACTGTGTCAGTGACAAACAATTTGAATCCCACCTTGGGATCGTAGCTTGCATTATTGTAGAAACTATGTCGGCTTAGATGAAGCATACTTGAGTATATTTTATCTTGCTGCTCGGCGCGAAGTACATAAATCGAAAGTCATCGTGAAAAGCGTGTGAATCTGATAAGCTAAATGAGATCTGAGCAAGTACTTACATCACTGTTAAATGTCAGCAGCACCTCCGTCTCGGGCATGGCCGGTTTACAGGGTATTATCACTTCGGAGTATTGTCGCGCTTGGATGATGGGCTCCAGCGGCGCCAGCAAATTGCTTTTGTCATTCACAAACACATAGATGGTGCTGGCCTCATTGTTGTTGACCAGCTCGATCAGCGTCTCCTCGGTCCAGTTGTTCGGATCCAGACCCAGCGAGCTTTTGATGCAGTAATAGGCACCCACATTTTCAACGCTCACCTCGTCCAGCGTCAGCCTAATGCCATAGGGACGCTGTGGATCCCCAAGGTTGTCGAATGTCTCGCTCAGCTTGTGTCCATAGTGGCCATGCCACCAATCGATGGGCTCACTGGCCTCGCACTGCAGCGTGTACGAGGTGCCCGCATCCAGCTTGAGAGAGTCCTTGCAGGGCGTTATAAGCGGCACGCCCATTTCGCCGCCACAATTGTAGAGTATATCATTATCCTCAAAGTCATTTTGAGGACGTGGCACTAGATAAAATAATCATCAAATCAAATACCAATTATTTATTATTATTTTATTATAATCTTTATCTCATTAGAAGATGGCTAGAACTTTAAGGAAATTATGTTTGGAGTCTTATTCAATTCAATTCCCAACAATTTGCAAATATTTCATGTGAGCCTTAGGGTACTTTTCTATCTTACGTGGTATCTGCCAGTCAGGCTTGGAGTTCAATTTCTCATGGAGTATGGGCTCTAATTAAATAAAACAAATTCCAAGCTTGTCTTAGGGCGAGCACAGGGTATTTGCTAGTCCACCATTTGGTTTATATTTTCATAATGCTTTTAAATTATTTGCGATACTTGAATACTTTAGATTCTATAGATTCTTTACTTGTATGTATACAAGGGGTTTGTAGATGTGGAGAGGGAAAGAGTGAGAGAGTATGGCCGAGGGGGAGGGTGGAAGTATCGAATGCCTGACTATATGTGTTGGTATTAGTACTTGCCTATATAATAATAGGCATGTCTACAAGGCAACAGCTATTGCGAATTTGATACTCTCCCTTTCTCTCCAAACGAGAAATCTATGTGTGTATAAATTCTCTACAAATTGTATTTGTAGACTTGTTTACAGAGTGTAGGCTAGCTCACACTCTCGCTCTCTTCTTCTCTCCCATTCTTGGCATTATTTGCGATATATTTATTTCAAGGTCAGCAGCAAATATCGCTAACCCATTCAGAATTTCGTAGTGTTGTGGAACGTGGCTTCGTAGTGCTGTTCAACGGTGGTGCTATCGACTGTTATTTCGTTCAAATTGCCCCATTGCGCATACACACACACACACACACACATTGGCTTCATCTCCATTGATATGGGCACAGCAGCCGTTATGCTTGGCTGCGCCCGCGTCAGCTCTCGATCGGAGACTCAGGCTCATACTCAGATCACGGCTGTAGCTCGAAAGGCACGTATGCATTTCATATTCCTTTCTTGATATATTTTGCTTTTTTTATAAAAATTGTTTGTTTACTGTTGATAAGAGAAAGCGAGCGCTGCTGATAGCATAAAGTTCTTGGATCTGGTTGGATTTTACACTGTTCACATTCGAGATGAGGGTATATTGAGTTTCCGAATTTGGCATATACATTTATGTGTATATTCTATATGATCATCATCAACAAAGCTAACATATATCGATATTTTCAAATGTTACAGTTTAAAAGCCACTGCTAGCAGTTTAAGAGCTAGTTAGGTCGATATTTTACTATCTAAGCTGTTAGAACATTGTGTACAGGGTATTGCGCCGTCGTGCCAGCTTGGCTCTAGTACATTTTAAGCAAGCAATATGCAATAGATATGTCGCACAATAAATATGGCTGGCATACACTAAATTATATATGTATGGGGACACATTTTAATGTCTGACACTTTAATGGGTTATGCTGATCGTTTTAATAGTCGGCGCCAGTGCCGAAAAAAAAAGAGAAGAGGAAAGCGATTTCGCTTATCAACGATCGTTCGAAGTTCACAATTGTGTCTAGCGATTCACTTAAGGCTCTCCATAGAGATTGGAAGATCGGGAAAAGATGAGGCAATCGAGCGTGGATCATAAATTATAAGAAAGTCCCTCTCGCTGCGTGTGTGTATTTGACAGGAAGCAAGGCCCGCATTTATTGAAGTCCAAGTGGATCGCATAAATACTCATAGAATATAACGAGGCGACATTTAGACACATGATATATGAGATCAAGTCTCATAATATTTATATATATATATCTATATATGTATGCGCACATTTTAATTGTGCAAATTGCCAGCGTTAAGCATTTCATGGTCATCATTTAAATCGTTTTTTTGCCGAGCATACCCTGCAACCGAATGCTAAACAGGGCATGCCAAGCATTCAAATACTCTAAAGTTATTTGAGCATGTTTTCTATAGCGCATACAAAAGTCGTTGTCAGCGAGTGCCTTGTCGCTTTTTGCGGATATTGTTTGCTCTATGCACTTATCAATTCTCAGAAATTGCTTGCGGTTCGTTAAAATTTTCAAATAATCATAAGAAAATACTATGTTAAAATAAAATTGCATACATAACTATTATCTGCCCTAGACTTCTGATTTCTATTCTGTGGAAGTACATGGAAGTGTATAAAAAAATCGTTACTTACATGCTTCCAAGCGGTCGAATATTGAGATCCCGATAAGGCCTAACAGCACATACAAGAGTTTCCGCATTTTGATAATTATGTTTTATGATATTTGTTGATTTGTAATATTTGAATATGTGTATGGTTTTTATGGTGTTTTTAATATATTTTACAAAATTTGGCAAGGCAGCGCCATGGCTCGAGTATCACTTAGTGCGCGGAGTTGGGTTGAATGCACTGCAAGAAATAGTTGAGATCGATATTTGTTTAACGTTTTCACTTTTTTCTATTTTGGTAACTTTTGTACATATTTATTATACAATTTTATTTATTTATTTATAGTTTATTTAAAATCAATCCGGATTCGAATCTCAGTTCGAGTCTTAGCCAATGGCCTGAGCGGCAAGTGCTATATAAAATCTATTTTTAAATTATTTATAAAAATAGCTGTCTGTTCACAACAATTCACAACACTGTTTTTTAATCCGTTTACAATATTCTTGGAGTTTTCCGCTCGAGCGTTACGCGCAATCATTGAAAAGCAACTGAATTCCCAATCTGAGAACGAGTCGGGCTTTCAATGGACTTTTTCAGGATAGCACTGTGGAATTCATATTGTTTATGTTGTTGCTGATAAAATAATTGTATTATTAATGAGCGCATATGAATACATCTTGCCAGTATGGACTGCTGAACTGTTAATCTGTGCGATGTAGCATTATCACAGCTCCAGTTTATCGTATGTATGCGCATAAACAAAAACAAACTATGCTTAAAAACAAGTGAGAGCCGGCAGTGCTCGACCAGAAGATACCCTCAACGCAGCTCCAAGCGGCTGTAACAAGTACTCGTCAAATAAATTCAAGTGCTTGAATAACTTCGGATCTTATTGTCCGATCTTCATGAAAATTGAGCTGCATAAGTCTTGCATGCAAGTGTGTGCAAATACTAAAGCCTAAAGTGTAAAATTGAAATATTGTGAATCAATGTAAACTATACAAAAGCCTACATTTCTAACTAGGGGGCCTCTAGCTCCGAGATATGCTCAAATTAAGGGATTCTTAACGCTTTAACGGCAAAGAGACGAGATATCGATAATGGGCTATGTTTCAAGTAACTCTGAGATCGACTGACATCGATGCGACTGTTACATACACACGCAGCTAACCAATCTACCCCATTTTAAACGTTTCAATTTGGGAGAGTGTGTGCGCACGCAGGGTAACAAAAAAAAAAAACAAAAAATTTGTGCGTTACGCATACGCACAGTGTTGCAAGATGTCGCAAAGTATGTTGTTGTGCATAATCTCTTACATCCGCTGTAAATGATATCCGCAGCTGAAAATGAAGCAATCTGTCGCGTGCTGGGGTCAAATGTCAAATGTCGAATGTCAGAAGTGTAATACCAATAAAACAGGGCAGCAACAGGTCGCACTCGCTAGCGTTGACTACAGTCATAACTCTGTGTGGGTGGCCGTCTCCGTGCCCAGCTGTGCACTAAATGACAACCAGACATGCACAATTAAACAAGTTGACTAACACACAAATTGGAACAGGCAATTGTCGTTTTTTATGGCAGGGCACGGACATAAATGTGCTCGTAATCCGTCCATCCAATCCGCCCCGGCCGCCCCCTGGCACAGCTGTTGTTCTGTTGACAACAAGTGGCCCATGTGTACAGCGTATAAACAGGAATTTCATATATTGTATTACTTGGGGGCGCACCCAAACAAGACCGTAGAAATCAACTAGAAAGGAGCTGCATGTATATGGTGTCGGTTAATTGCCTTTTCGGCTGGCAAATAAAAAGGCATTCATCTTTGTCAGGACATAAGGACACATGAGTCATCTCCTGCTGATAAGCAGCGCGCTGCTATCAGCTAATTAATGTACTCAAGCAGCTCACCTGAGTGACATTGCAGGCACTTACATAGTCTTTGGTCAAGTGCAAATATTGACAGCCAAATTGAAAGGGCAGCTTATGTTAATCGCTCGCCCGTGATGTGGCTGGCACTTAATGGCAGTGCAGCAGAACAGCAGAGCGATTGTAAGTGGCCAGCAGATGCTCTGCGGCTAAACTAATAATAGAATTAGCTTGGGTCATATCTCAAAACTTTATATCTCGTTTTAAACAGCTAAAAATAACTATTAAGTAACATTTGCCACTCTGATCCTTTAGCATAACATGCACATGAATGTTGTTAGCAGCGCTGCAGCGCTAGGGATATTCTCTGTAAGAACAACATCATGGCATACACAATTCCCTTTTATCACATTTATCATAACAGTTGCTTAACATTAATGTGTTTTAGCAGCAGTGTTTCTTTACAAGGAAATTATTTCTGGTAAATGTTAAATTTCCTCTACTTATGTAGCATTATAATAACAGGAACACATACATGTTTACTGTTTAGTTAACATTCAAATGTTATTAGCAGCAGCGCTTAACATTCAAGTACTTTGCATGAGCGTTTAATAGCCTAGAAAATGTTTACCTTTTACACTAAAAATCTAACTTCAAGCAATAGTAAAAAGCGAAAAAAGTTTCTGCGACAAAGCGAATCAGTTGCCGGCTATGCCCAGTGCTGTGCTTGTACGTAGCGTATGAAAACTTGCTTGGATCATTTTCATTTCAATTGCGCACGGCGTCTATTCCTATGAAATGTGTCTGGCAACATGTTGCCATGTGGCTGCATTGCCAGCAACATGCTGTTGTTGCCTGGACTTTGACTTCTGGGGCTGTTCCTCATGTTGTCGCTCGACTGGGGCTGCCTTTTTGTTGTTGTTGTCGTTGTCGTCGACGTTGACGTTGACGTTGTTGTTGCATCGCTGTCGTGGAGTTACCATGGCGACACGCCCACTTTTGCAATTTTCAAGGGCGCTCACGCATACCACTGGCCACTTTTTTGTTGCAACAGTTGCTGTTGGCTATATTTAGCCTCCTCTGACTGCCTGCTACCCCCCAAACCCCACAGCCCCGCCTAATTACCAGTTGCCCGTCCTGGTCCCACAGCCAGCTCTGGCCAGCAATTGCCTTCTGCGCAATTAGCGACAATTGCAACGGATTTCATTTGTTCCCTCTCTGGGGCGCAAGGAGCTCATCAACTGCTGTCCATTGTTATTTGAAATGTGATTTAATTTATTGCTTGAATCAACTATGATTCAACTTCAATTTTTTTGGGCGAATTTTGTTTTACACGTAACCGCAAATCAAATATGTTTAGGCACAAGAAAATGGCAATATTTAACATGCATGTTTATGACCGTTCTGTTTGTGCTATGACGTCATCAGCTAAACGCTCGAGCGGTCACACTCGGCTCACGTCAATGGCGACGCCTTAGAGCCCGTCCCACTCCCCCAATGCATACACACACACACGCGTAGCACACACACACACACACTTGTATGTTAGATCACACTGTAAAAGTCTGCTGCATGAAAATCTGTTAACATATGTAAACGACAATATTTGCGTATTAATTGAAATGCGGCCCAGTGAAGCGACAACCGGTTTTATGACTTGCTGGGGCCCGTTAGGGCTGGCCCGAATTCCCCCTAGAATAGTTGAACTATCCATATATCCAACACTCGAATGCTCAAAATGCTCAAAATGGAAAAGAATTAACATTTGTCGCTTAAATTTTATTTGTTTTCAATTGATCTGCGCACATTTTATGATCTTTACTTCTCACATGACTTTAAAGAGGAAGTGTATATATGTATATAGCACAATTGAACAAATCTTAAGCCAAGTGAAAAAATATAGAATAGCTTCTACGGGGTATGAAATTCGATATGTCTGCTTGTGGTAAGACTCTGCTCGTACCTTATATAATAAATTTATTTACCTAAGTATCATTTCATATTATCATATTTCCAAACATTTTCCCAATCTTCACTTCCTGTTAAATTTATTAATCAGCATTTATATTGAGCTGAATTGTGCTTGAGTTTTCTCCCAGTGTACTCGATCATATTAATCACTTTGCAATTGTTGAAATAAATATATTTTCTTTTCAAGTCTTCGAATTGATGTACAAAATGTTTGTATACTGGGATCGTTGCTTGTTTCAGATCTTTCAGCGCCAGGCACTTAGCTATTTTTTCTTTTTTTTTTTTTTAATTTATTTTTTGGGTACATTGTTGTTTATGGGGCAAGTTTGGACACTTTGAGGCTGGCCCGGCGAGAAGTTGGCTGCTTATGGAAAACTTTGCGTTGCATGTGCAACAGATTTGTGGCTGTCACGTTCTGTGCAGCAATTGGAGGCAGCTAGCTACCTGCTGCCACATTGCTTTCCCCTACGTGCCTGGCTGCCACATAATGCGGCATGTCTGTCGACTGACCCTCACATGCTCAGCGCCATTGGCCATTTCATTTTGGACTCTAATTTCGGTTCGCATTCTCGTTTCAGTCTTAAATTGAATTTTTATGTTCGCTCTTAACGATTGCAAATACAAAATTGTTGGCCAAACGTGTCGCACATTTCGTTTTTATTTCGTTTTTATCCTCGAGCTGTGCACTTCCACGGAAAATACGCGCACAACTTGAACAGAATTCACATTTCGCTTATAAATATTCTTAGTTAAGCTGATTATAAATGTTACAAAACCAAGAAAAACTTGGATTTTGACTGGTTTTAAGTGCCTTTTACTTATTGCAAGACTTAACAGACTTAAATTAAGCGTCGATTTTAGATTAGTTTTGGAAATAGAAAGGAATAGAAAGGGGTTCTTCAGCTTGAGAATTAAGACTTCTACTCAAGTCAGATTTCGGCAACTCTTTATTTCTTCAATTAAGTAAAACAATTTTTGATTTAAGTTTAAAATTTATTGAAATTTTCTTCAACTGCAACTTTTTTATTAAGAAGATGGGCTACGGTATTTAAGTGAAAGTCTTTATAAAAGTTTTTTTAGATATGCAATAAGTTTTTCAACTTTTTTAAAATTTAAAATTCTTAAATTAAGTACAGAATTTCTTGAATTTGAATACTCAATAATATCAGTTATTTTCTGAGATTGTTTATTTAAGTTTGAGTATTTAAGAAAAAAGTTGTTGATATATGAAACAAGTTTCAACTTTTTCTGAGCACAAAACTCTTGATTTCAGTTAAAAATTCCATAAATTGTTCTCCAACTAAGTGTCCGCATTTAGATCTAGTATCTGCAGAGCTTGTGACCTTTGCGGCAAAGTCAAGTGGTTTTCCAGCACAATTGTTTTGCCATTGCAAGCGCAACA